CCACTGTTTTTAAATATAAGATATTTCTTTGAATCAATACGTGTATTTATAAAGTTTTACAGATTCTGTATTTGCTATTATAAATATTTTTTACAGATTTTACATAAATACATTTTACAGATTGTATATTTGATATCATAAAAAAACATTTACAGATTTTACAGATTCTGTATTTACTATTATAAACAAATTTTACAGATTCTGTATTTACTATTATAAACAAATTTATAAACAAATTTTACAGATTCTGTATTTACTATTATACACAATTTTTACAGATCCTATATTCACTATTATAAACAAATTTTACATATTCTATATTTACTATTATAAACAAATTTTACATATTCTATATTTACTATTTTAAACAAATTTTACAGATTCTATATTTACTATTATAAACAAATTTTACAGATCCTATATTCACTATTATAAACAAAATTTATAGACTCGATATATATTATTGATAAAGATAAGTTTCCTCATCAAAACTTCGCATAGAATAAACTCAGTAATTGTGTATCCATAAAACGGTACCTTGTACCTATATTTCTGATTAAATATCTGTCTTAGTAATAACATCAAACAAGGGCATTATAACCTATTGTGATAGTCCCAGAAAAAACTGAAATATTATTTGTTTTTAACCAGTTATTAAATACTGTTATCTAACGCGTACTATTAACCGTGTTTTATCGGAAGCTAATTTCCAACCACTTACAGTTGGTCAGATTATAAAACATATTGCATGTCTTGATACAGTTATTATATTTACGTAATTTAACTCCAATTAGAGAATATGACCGCTCTTAATTAACATAGGGTTAGTCAGGAAACAATCTCACGCGACAGGCAATGGTAGCAAGCGATAAGATCTAGTTAATAATTGCAGGCAGAAGGCTGATAGCGGCCATTTTGACGAAACTGAGATTTAACTATTCAATGTTTGTCATAATTTTCCTATTATTGAAATGATTTCCTTTTTCTATTATTTGGCAGTCACGGTGACTCAGTAATGACTGAAGGCTCTGGTTCACTAACCAGCAGGTTCGGATTTCCCAGCGTAGTTAACGTTTGTCAGTTGTGTAGGACGAAGGGCCTGTGAGAGAGAAATGGGGTTTAACGTCCACTCGACAAAAACGAGGTTATTTCGGGACTAACATATGGTTTAATTTTATTTCAATAATTCGCTTGCGCGTAGGGGTCTTTAGCAGTGGGAGGAAACCGGAGGAACCGGAGAAAACCCATGAGATTGGACAGGCGACACTACTCCTTGTCACGTACAACCGGGGATTCGAAACCACGCCAGTTGACTCAATGACAGGCTTTATGATAACAGCACGCACGTGCTAACCATTCGGCCATCCAACGGCCTCGTGAAGCCGCATAGTCTAGTTGTTCGGATGATATGGAAAACCAAGATGAAGGGTACTAGTCGGCGTATACTTAAAGAAGGCCTTGGCAGTTGGAATTCGATGAAATGAAATGAAATGTAATGGGGTTTAACGTCCTACTATTCTGCTCCGACGTGGGTTAATGAAGACGGGCATACGCCATACAGTGTGTTATGAGGGAAATAGCACCCGGGCAGCAGCGCTATGGCCTACTATTATAATATATCGAATTCCAACTGCCAAGAGATCTTTTTTGTGCACGCCAATGTATACACAGGACCTCGGTATTCCATCCCATCCGAACAACTAGAAAGATGTCCATGTCAGGTCCTCCGTCCTGCATCACTGACAAGGGGTAACCACGCCGGAAAATCTGGATGAACTTTCCCGGTCAATGCATAGATCGAACACCCGACCTCCAGGCCAGTGAGCCAGAGTCTTACCCACTTAGCCACTGTGACCCCCTGCGATGCACGGAACTGTGGGTAAACCACTAGAAACGTCAACGCTGATTGATTAATCAATGTCTGACTTCATAGGGTCAAAAGCCGCTCGTACGACCCTTGACACGACCTTTCAGTACAACTGGTCAGATCTTCATGTAGTGTGGGCCATCGAAAGTATAAAAAAAACGAAACGAAATATAGATCTGTATTTTAATCAGATTGAAGAGATATCATCTACGCCTAGCAGAGTGTCTAGATTGTGGGCCGTCTCGCCATCAAAAAAAGATTATTTGCGAATCTCCTAGAAACTTTTTTAGTTTTAGTTTATATTCTATTATTTTCTGATTAGCAACCCAAAAGAAGCGCACTTGAGGTGAGAATTCTGGGGTCGGGTACATTTAAAGCACAACACAAGAAACTTACCCTTTCTGTAACCTTCCAACTTTTACTTTTATCTTATTTGAATCTGATTCTCCGGTTGTACGTGACAAGGAGTAGGGTCGACTATCCAACCACATTGGTGTTCTCTGGGTCTACCGGTTTCCTCCTACTGTAAAACCCCTTCGCGCAAGCGAATTATTGAAATAAAATTGAACCATATGTTAGTCCCGAAATGAGTGGACGTTAAACCCCATGTGTTTGTCCCGAAACGACCTACAGTTTGTGTCGAGTGAACGTTAAATCCCCATTCTCCCATTGCTAAAGAGAGAGAGAGAGAGAGAGAAGTGGGGTCATTTCGGGACTAACATATGGTTCAATTTTATTTCAATAATTCGCTTGCGCGTAGGGGTCTTTAGCAGTGGGAGGAAACCGGAGGACCCGGAGAAAACCCATGAGATTGGACAGGCGACACTACTCCTTGTCACGTACAACCATTGCTAAAGACCCCTACACACAAGCGAATTATTGAAATAAAATTGAACCATGTGCTGGTACTCTCTCTCTCTCTCTCTCTCTCTTTCTCTCTCATTTGAATATGGCTCTTTAATTCTATATTCCAATTAATCAAAAGGTTATTATCGAATATGAGAAAAGTACAGATGAGCTAATATACAGACGGTAAGCGACACAACTATCTGATAGTGAAAGTGATTTTATACTACCTGCAGGTATTCCTAGCATATCATAAATACACTTTTATTAGTTTTACAACGGGAAATCTGGACAGTGTTATACATTTTATTATACGTCATTATTTATTCAATAATAATCGATCATCGCTTTCGTGGTTTACATTAAAGGAGATGTAACATATAAATGAAATGAAATGGGGTTTAACGTCCTACTGTTTTGCTCCTGTGCTGGGCTAATAAAGACGGGCATACGCCATACAGTGTGCTATGAGGGAAATTTTTGCCCGGGCAGCGGCACTATCGCCTACTGTTATATCGAATCCCAACTGCCAAAGGGACCTTTTACGTGCATCCCAATGTATACACGTGACCTCGGTTTTTCGTCTCATCCGAAGGACTAAACAGCTGTCCTTGTCAGGCCCTCCGTCCTGCATCACTGACAAGGGGGGGCCACACCGGAAAATCTGAATGAACTTTCTCGGCTAATGCAGGGATCGAACGCCCGAACTCCAGGCTAGCGAGCCAGCGTCTTATTTCTAATGTCAACTGTCAATGAATCTTTAACGTATGTGCCAATGTATACATGGGATCTCGGTTATTCTCTCTCTCTCTCTCTCTCTCGTCTTATCACAAGAGCAAATGAGTCTGGGTTATCTACGTCAATCGAAATTAATGAACCGATAGACATTTCTTGAACACAAAACTAATAAGATGCCATCCGTTAGGGTTTGTAATTGGCTTAAATTCATACTTCAGGTGTTAGCTAAATATCATGTATTTAATACATTTGTTTTCATATTGGTCCTGGGCAATAATTAATAATTGATAATTTATATGTTAACTATTTCTGTTTATCGATATTACCACACCTACAGAAAATTTCGTTTACATCGATCGAGTTTTGCAAGCGGTCCTGCTGGTCTAGCTGCGCGCCTACGGCCCATCGGAACCTTGCTCCGCCTCTGCTTATCGAAGTCAATCATTTTCATTTACACCCAGGAACAGATGAACAAAATCTACTTCTAAACCATTAGCCAAGTATAAAATTTCTAAAGAAAATCATACAATATTTTCCTAGAAGCCTTTTAACTTTGAGTCCTTGTGAAATAAACAAATGAAAGACAATTGTTGTATCAACAGAAGGTTTTTGTCTCCGCAGGCAATATTTGATCAGTTAGAACTTCGTTTTAAAAGCCTTGTCACAACGATCGAACCTTTAAAAAATGTTGTTCTTTATTTTGACATCAAAGGATGGAGTGCCCCGCGTCTAATCGGATATGATTTTCGATGGTTTGTCAAAGACATACCAATATCTATTTATTCATCTTCGAGAGTCAGTGGATATTAATGGTAATGGTGTTCTTCGTGGGGTAGAGTATACCCTTGACGAATGAAATGAATGAATAACAGTTATAACTCGTGCATGAAGCGATGGACACAGACACAAAAACGGGGTTTAACGCCCACTCGACGCATCTTACAAACATTCCTTAAATTTTACGTTAAAACTTACATTTTTTGTCTAATGTAATTGTTTCTGAAAGCTCTAAGTTAAATTGTAACTTCATGCTTTATGTGAAGTAATTACATGATAATTAAAGTCCGCTTTCTTTTTGGTTTGCGTGTACAGGCGATAAATACAGGTGACATTGTTTGTAGTTTTGGACTACACGTAGTAAATAAATACAGATAGTAATGTTTGTAGTTTAAGCTGTCCAGTGGTAGAGGGGGTGGCTGAATGGTTAGCACATGCATGCTGTATCATAAGGTCTGTCATTGAGTCAACTAGGCGTGGTTTCGATTCCGCGGTTGTACTTGACAAGGAGTAGGGTCGCCTGTCCAACCTCGTGGATTTTCTCTGTGGCTTCCGTTTCCTCCAACTGCTAAACACTCCTACGCGCATGCGAATTATTGAAATATAATTGAACCACCTGTTAGTTTCAACTAACTAGTTTCTAGCTTTGACATCCATATGATGGAGACATTAATAACAATAATACAGATTGCCTTGCTTGTAGTTTTAGTAAACAAGAAAAATGAAGTTTTGACATCTATATCATGGAAACATTAATAACAATAATGCTTACCTTTCTGTCCGTAATCGTATATCCAATACAATTAATAGTTTTTGAGGTATACACTCTTCTTAAACGTCTTTTCGAATTGTGTATGAAAACTTATTGATAACAGCTGAGTGTGAATTAAATATCGGCTATTGTTATATCGATCAGTATAAACTCACTAAATTATTCACTATATCACATAAACTGACAACATGAAATCTGTAGATTAGTTATAGTATAAGGTTGTCTGTACATCAATCATATTACATATTATGAGCCGTCAAACTTTATGTCGTACTCTAATGTAAAAGTTGTTATTGTTAATTAAGTAGAAGGGGCGGATCTAGCCATTTGGTTAGGAAATGAAATGAAATGGGTTTAACATCCTACTGTCCTGCTCCGACTTGGCTAATGAAGACGGACATACGCCATACAGTGTGCTATGAGGGAAGTTTTTCCCGGGCAGCGGCACTATGGCCTACTCTTATATCGAATTTCAACTGTCAAGGCCTCTACAATCACTGATAAGGATGACATCGATGCGACTTATTGAGTCCCAAATATTAACTTTTTTCTTCCGTCAAATTAAATTCTAAAACATTTTTTTCATTTATTAGAAAAATAAATAAAGATGTTTGCATTATTTGCAGGTAGAAATCATTTCCTATTTAGTGTAAATGGGTATTAAAATAAGTAAAATTCACATTTAGCCCGAATCAGTAACGTCTTATGTAAACAATGCACGCGCTGTTGAGCCAATGATTGACGCCTCGTGATGTGACGTCACGTGTCGAAACAGTCATCTGTTACAGAGATATTAGAAGATCTCTGTGAAACAGATTGCGGTGTGATATGAGAGAAACCGTGGTCGGATAGCGGCTTATCCCCCTACTCTTCATTGAATCCATCTGTCACGAGTACAGAATTTCAATAATATCCAGGCCAGGTTCAAGCCTAGACGATCAAGGCTAACAAAGATGAGTAGCAGGGAATGTGTCACACGTCGGCTGTGGTAAGCTTTTGGCGTGTTTTCTTTCCATATTCGACCGACGGGTAGTGCTACATGCGACATCGTGGCTATCTTCAATCTGATTAAAATACAGATCTATATTTCGTTTCGTTTTTTTTTATACTTTCGATGGCCTACACTACAAGAAAATCTGACAAGTTGTACTATTAGGTCGTGTCAGGGGTCGAACGAACGGCTTTTGACCCTATGACGTCAGGCATTGATTAATCAATCAGCGTTGACGTTTCTAGTGGTTTACCCACAGTTCCGTTCATGGCACGTCAAGAAGTAGCTGTAACAGACCGTTTCATATGGCTTATCTCTCACTTCAACCAAAACGTCAGTAATATAAAAACTCTTCCAGATCCTAGTGTAGGGAAGACAACTAAAACGAAATTTTGAACTATAAAAAACGAAACGAAATAGGATCTCTGTTTTAATTAGATTGGGCTTTGGTGAAAGAACTACACGTAGCGGAGTTAATTACCCTAAAGATTATTACAGTTAAGTATACATCAGTCATATTATATAATCTACGTCATGTCCCTATATTAACAGTGTTAATTAAAATGGTATAACGACTTCATTCAAATAGTAGTTAATCTATCATATGTGATCGCCGTGTTCGGGTTCGCAGCCGCGGTCGCGTTCTCGGTCAGTGTAATCGGCCCTTTAAGCAGAATGGGCGGATCAAGAATTATTTTTCAGCTGGGGCTATTTTTAGGTTATATTGCAATTACAAGTATTTTTGTAATGAAATTGCAAGTTGACTTTATGTCGATCTGATTAAAACACAGATCCTATTTCGTTTCGTTTTTTATAGTTCAAACTTTCGTTTTACTTGTATTCGCATTACTAAGTTCTGGAAGAGTTGTTATATAACAGGCGTTCCAGTTGGTGTGAGTAATAAGTCATTGAAATGGTCTGTTGCAGCGAGTTCTTGGCGTGCTCAAGAAGGAACTGTGGGTAAACCTCTAGAAACGTCAACGCTGATCGGGTAATCAATGCCTGACGTTATAGGATCAAAAGCCGCTCGTATAACCACTGACACGACCTCGCAGTACAACTGTAGGTCATCGAAAGTATGAAAAAACGAAACGAAATAAGATCTGTATTTTAATCAGATTGATTTTATGAATGTGGAAATCTAAATAAAATGTTTATACAGTAATTATTTATTATTATTTTATCTTTAGAGTCAGCGAACTGAAGATTCGATCTGCATTTTCATTGACAAAGAAAAGTACAATCAAAATAGTTCTGTGTTCTTTACTTTCAAGAAATGGTCCATGGGCTATTAGTTTAGCTCGTAACCATTGTTATACCACTTGTATATTCATCTAATTATCGAAAATCCAAGCATAACTTAGCATATTAAAGGGACAATAACACTCTTGCTTGCTTGACAGCTCCGGAAAATAAAAAATAGCCTTATTCTAAGTACTAGATGTGTTAGTGTCCTACCTGTTGTTTAAATTATCCATTAAATCCTATTTTACTTGTCCAAAGCGTTCAAAAATATTTTTAAATCCAAGTCACATTTGAAAAGCTTTACGTCAGGCTTTTCAAATCATTTAGTTGAACTTTTCCAATTTTTTAAATTAGGTGTGTCCAGAAGAATTTTGTATCATCAATTAATTGGAATTATTATTGTAAAATAGTACAATTTGTTGACCAGAATAAAGATTGGGACATATTATTCAGTTACAACAAGAGTGGTATTGAGCCTTTAATGGAAGCTAAAGTAGCCCGATGGGTATGTTGCTTGGCCACTTACTAGGCCAGAGTTCGTTTCCGGTGTAGGCCGAGAAAGTTCCTTTGGGTTTCAGTGGTGCAGGAACGAGGACCTGGTAAGAAAAGCCTCTAATCATTCGGACAGGGGGGATGATATCTCCGAGGTTCCTTGTATACATACAATGGTTCCCCCTTTCCAGTGGTGCAGGACGGAAGGCCTGGCAAGGAAAACTGTCTTGTCATTCGGATGGGGATAAATCGAGGACCTGTGTACACATTGGCGTGCACGGAAGCTGGAATTCGATATAAGAGTGGACCATAGTGCCGCCGCTGTCCGGGCAAATTCTCCCTCGTAGCACACTGTATGACATATGCCCGTCTTCATTAGTCGAGTCGCAGCAGAACAGTGGGACGTTAAACCCTACTTCATTTCATTTCCTTGTATATTATCAGCAGCTCATTAAAGATCCTTTTACAATCGAAATCAGATAAGAGTATGTTGTAGAGCCGCTGTCAGGACAAAATCCCCCTTATAACACACTGCATAACGTATGTTATCCCGGTTGGTGCAGAAAAGTAAGACGCTATACTCTATTTCATTTCCTGTAATTGGTATAAATACTCTGTACAACAAACTTGTGTTGATTACAGTCATTTGTTTTTAACGGATATACAATCAATTACAACGGTGTACATTTACTACTTCAGTTTTTTACATGTTTTATTTCATATTAAATTGCATAGGATATTATGTCTCAAGGCAATTGACTTGTCTTCTGACACGCAGTTATATATTTATAACATTTATATGTATTTATTTTATTTGTATACGCTTTAACAGGGGGCCGCGGTGGCTTAGTGAGTAAACTGGAGGTCGCCCGATGTTAGTCCAGATATTGCAGCGCCATTTTCTCGAGTGGTTCCCTCTTGTCTGTGGTGTAGGTAGGAAGGCGCGCCTGGCAAGGGATAACGTATAGTCGTTCGGATGGGACGAAAAAACCGAGGCCCCATGTACAAACTGACGTGCGCGAACCCTTGACAGTTGGAATTCGAAAAAAAGAGTAGTCCGTAGTGTAGTAGTCATGGCAAAATTTACCTCATGACACATTTTATGGTGTATGGCCGTCTTTATTAGTCCAGTCATTTCTTTTCATTCATACGATTTAATAAAGAGTCGAGGATACGAAACTGGGGTCTGACTTTATTAATCTTAAAATACTATGGAAAAATGTCTTCTTGTATTGTTTGTTCTGCATGTGTTTGAAGCCGGTGTTGAAGGTTTTTCGGAATTATTTGGCAAGGAACAACGTCTTGTCTGTCGGTTGGGACGAAAACCCGAGGTCCTGTCTACACGATGGCTTCCAAGAAAAGAACCCTTAACAGTGGAAATTTAAATAAGAGTAGGTTGTAACACCGCTCTCTGTGCAAAAAGTCCCTCATAGCAAACTGCATGACGTATGTCAGTCTTCATTCGATCGTATTTGGTGCTGAAATGTAGGACGTTAAACCCTATTTCAATTATTCTGTGTTTGTCCATCAACTAACCGACGGGTAAACATCAAAGCAAATATCATTATAGTTAGCTTCCCGAGAACAGGTTTTTTTCTGAGAAAATGATGAACGTTCAAGGTTTCAAAAATACAGAATCTTTCAGTAGTCTGGAACGTTGTGGCATTACTATTAAACATACATTACGCAAGAGCTAAATCTGTCTATTGCAGGTCTTTCTTTAGGCCTGAAATGTTATCTAAATTATTAATTAGACATTAATTAACCTATCCAGACCATAATCAACTCTCGATGTCATCCCTAGCCTGCGATGTTTATTGGATTAGGTTCCGATTTACTGTTCGATTTCCATTCATGATTTAATCATGTAATGGATAATCGTGACTATGTTTTTTATCGTACTGAAATTTTCAGCAAATTCACTTTACATTATCAAGTTTTTAACTATCATAGTGAGAACTACCAGCTCTTTATCTAATCTCCCATTATGTATCTTTAATGGTTTAAATATATTCAATAATATTTATTATGTCTCCAGTTCGGCATTTCATATCAAAAGACAGACCATACCTACGATTAAATGACCAGGCTGTTCTATGTCTTTAAACAATATAAAACGCTCTGGTTCTTAGAACAATTTAATGAGTTTTAAAAACATATGATAAATAATAATTATGGTCTAAAATCTGGTAAGTCTTTGAGTAAATACAAAAATAGCAAAAGGCGGAATCCTAAAATGACGGCACATAAAGATCTACCGTGCTGCGGTGGACGCAAGTTTCTAACATGGAATGATTTTTAAAACCATAGCCAGGCTTCTTTTTCAGTTTCGCCTTTTTATTAAAAACTAAAATGGATAACTCTACTCGGGTAGAGACTTAATATCCAGGTCGGTTCTCACCTACGATATTTTTTTGAATATCTTCGAGCGGAGCACCCCACCCCCAACCCCCTCAACTGTAATAAAATCCTGGCGCCTCCTCTGAATATCAATATTTTTGTTTTCGTAAATGTTTTTAAAGATAATATCTTTAAATTGTACAATGTTCCGTGTAACTATCTCACAGAAGCCAAACGACATTTCCGCACAAACAAGGAAAAATCAATGAACTGAACTCGCGCCCTCTTAAACGTTTTAAGTGGTACTTCATTAAACTTGACCCAATTCAATAGCGGTCTTCTTTTGATGGTTTATGCGAACGAGACAAAAATATTGTCAATATTATAAAAAGTTATCGCAAGTGTCTGAGAAAATTTCAATGTCGCTAGAGGATTTTTGTTTTGTCACAGGAAATCTTAAATTTGGCTATTGATCAAGATTTTCCTTTAAAAAATATTTGAAAAAAAAAAGAACAGAACCGTTTTGCGATCGACGCCCAACTTAAAGATCCACTATGTTAGAGCTAAATCTGCCCATGCCTATAACAGGATCTCTTTTCTAGCTTCAGGTTTGATATAAATTACTATTTAAACATCATAATAATAAACCCATACGCAACTCTCTGGAGTATCTAATGGCTTAGATATTGAATGAATGGATTAGAGCACCCGCGTCATTTGATAGTGTAACTTTAAAAATGAAAATCGACATTTCGTTTCTTATCGTAGTCATGGTACTTGACAATAGGTAATATTGCGTAATTTCTTATAAAAACATCAAACACCGATAACTTAACTCAGAAAAAAAGAAATTCGAAATTTTCAATACAATATTTGATATTATTTAACTGATAATGGCGATGCTCGATTGAACGTGCCCAAATTGAATTCTGTCAAACCCCAAAATAGTGACAATCGAGTGAAAATGTGGATTTGGGGCTAGAATGTAATGCACCGACTGCATAGGAAAATATCTCAACCAACCATGACAATTGAAACATGTTCGTTGTGTTTTATTACGTCGCGATTCTACTCACACCACATCAGCACCGTGACAGGACTGAATTCCCCGTCACACGATTGCAATTCCGTCAACAATCGAGCATCCCCATAGTGTCATGTCTTACTGTAGTTACCTCCCTTGCTACACTTAACATTGAACAAGGAAACAGAATGATCTTTAATAAATGAGCATAGGCAGCTGCCCCCCTAACTTTCGGGCAGACGAGTAAAGTGAAAAAAAATTTTTTATTTCATCTACTTGGCAAATTAAAGTGCCCGGAATCTAAAAAAAACACTAATTTTACGGGCTGGAATAGCAGTAAAACGCGTTTACGGCCTTCAAATATTCTAAAATTTTCTTGGGGGGTCCATATCAGGTCAGCTCCGCTTCTTCGCCTCTCGAAGGAAACCGGCGCCGCTGTCTGTAAACCTGAAATTTTTTCGGGCATTTCTAGTTTTGCTTCCCTAACTGTCATCGAGCTCTAATAAAACACTAACTTTTATTTTAATTGAATACCACGAATTTGTACTGAGTTGACTATGAATTAAAACATTTTGTCTAGAGCCACTCTACTTTGTGCGACATTTTTCGGGCATCGATTATTATTTGTGAATGCAGCTGCAACAGTCTGATTGGATGCTTGGAATTCAGAATGGGATTTCGGTTACAAAACCATTGGATACTTTTGGAGTTGCTTACACGGGCTAGAATAGCAGAAAACGCATTTGCGGTGGTTAAATTTTCAAAAAATTTTCCGGGAGGGTGAGACCCCATACCCCGCGACGATTGATTGGTTGTTTGGAATTCGGGTCAGCCAGGCAGGCTATATTGGACCAATTGAAGTTGCTGTATTCACAGGCTGGAATAGCCGGAAAACGCGTTTGCGGCAGTTAAATTTTTTTAAATTTTCTCCCAACGGTCCCGTCTCTGTGGACTGTAAATGATTGATCTTTTGATTGGAATTCGAGCCAGCCATCTTAATTAGCCTATATTAGACCACTTTGAAGTTGCTTTATTCACGGGCTGAAATAGCAGGAAAACGTGTTTGCAGCCGTCAAATATTCCAAAATTTTCTTGGGAGGGGGGGTCCACACAAGGTAAGCTCCGATTCTTCGCTTCTCGAGGAAGACCGCGCCGCTTTCTCTAAACTCGAAATTTTTTCGGGCACTTCGGGTTCCTGCCCCCCTAACTGTCATCGAGCCCGTACGCCTATGTAAATGAGACCCGAATGAACTAGTTTTATCGAATTGACAGTTGGAATTCGATAAAAGAGTAGGTAGTGCCACTGTCTGCACGGCGTATGCCCATCTTCATTAGCCCAGTCGTAACAAAACAGTAGGACGTAAAGCCCCATTTCATTTCGTTTACTTTGTAGATAATTCCTTCTGTCTCCTTTTGCGTAATTTATTTGCATGGCATTTTGTTTTTTACTACGGAAAGATTGGTTTTGAAAACATGTATAGTATGAACACCACAAATAGTAGTTAACTGAGTGGTTAACTAAAATTCACCATTCTGCCCGGACCAGTTTACGACACCACGTCATATGTAAACAATGCACGTGCCATCGAGCCAATGATCGACGTCGTATGACGTGACGTCACATATAGAAGGCATTTTAACCTTTAAAGCTCATTCATCTCATACAGAGCTATAATGATTTCACAATACCTCTGTGAAGTAGATTGGAATCGAGAGAAAAGGAACAAGGTGAAGAAGAAAAAAAAGAAGAAGGTGGGCAACACCTTATTATTTTATCGAACTCTGTTGTACGTCATGTGGACGGTCTACGGGACTGTTCTTTGGGTAATCAGAAACAACCCTTCCAGAATTTAGATCTAGACCCGTTCCACTGCAATTCAGAGTTATCCGCCCACTTACGTCTAATCTTGTGAGCACGATACAGGACGTGGTGGAATTTTTAAATACTTAGTGGGATTATTTATTGCGATAAAAGGAAGAACCCTGTTGAAGTTTAAAATTTTGGGATCTGAGATTATTAACGGGTTTCGTGAAGTTATCAATCGACGTGTATTTCTCCAATAAACATAAAGTGGTATCAGATGTTATAGAAAGATCAATAATAGGTTTAAATGTACTGATGTTTCTTTATTTAAATTTCTGTTAAAATTATATACATTATTTACATATTTATTTTTTATTCAAAATCAAATTTATTCTTAGTTGTTTCAAATATAAACACAAATTGTGATGGGAAAAAGTTGTTCACCGTTGTACGGAAATGGGAAACACCGTTATGGTGAGGGGCGAGTTCAAAATATTGGAAATATAACTGATGGTATTTTTCTTGCTTAATTTTTGAGGGGATCAAGTGTTAGTTTTCAAAATATATACAAAGACAGAATTCATTAGAATTCGACGTGGCCATTATAAAAATTACACAACCAATAATTTTCAGGTATAGGCCTACATTTGTAAAATTAAATACTAAAAAATAATTTATAGTTTATTGGCTGATTTCTCCATATTTGCAACTTTTTATCCTCTTGGGACATTTTAAGGTATGGCAAAAATCATCTTAGCAATCGTAACCATAACAAGTGTATGCATCACTGGTTGTTACCACGACAACGACAACCACTATAGTAACGACGACCAAAACGGCACCCAGGGCCATGGCAATCATTGATAAACGTTTAGCTTGATGGGCTTCTGATGCTGCTGTTACGAAGTCACCTCTTTCGACTGCCCGACGTGCCTACAAAATAAAGAACACGGTAAACCAGTACTGAATAAATGTGAAATACTTAGGTAGCCATGCTACCAAACAGATTGGGGGCAATGCTGGGTCACAATAGAGTTGACAGGCAATGTATATGTTCTTAATAGCAGCTTTGAACGATGATTTCTCGGGAAAATAGCGACGTAAGGACTTGATGTTCGAGTCTGAATTTATGATTATCTGTATAATACCATTAAGTATAAGAATAATCTCAGTTGGTTTCGGTGACAGGGGCAGTAACTCTTTGAGTGAATCTGACTTTTGATAGGTATCTACTCCTAGCTGAATAATCAAAAAAAAGGGCACTAATACTGCGAAAAATTGGTGTGCAACTCAAGACGGTCCTTCCTAGGGACTAGCCGAATAATCAGACAGGCGACAGCTGGATTAAAGAAGAACAAAAACACTGTGATACGTCGCACGGTTACAAGAATTGTGGACTGACAGGCGAGCTGAGGACAATACACTTCCAAATGAAATGGGGGCATCATCTACAATCGACATTTCCAATGATTCTCGATGCTATTGGTGACTCTCGGGTACCGTGTGTTGTAATATTTCTTGTCACTTAAAGATATTGACCCAATAATAATAACCTTGGGTGAGAAATACATAACTGCCATCACGCTATGATGTTGTTACTAATACTTACGTCAAGGGCTCTCATTATGGCCATAATACCGATTGGCCAGCAACATAATAATGTGGCAATAATAGCCAATGTTAAATGGTCTGGTGGTGCAATTGCTATCTGGTTGCCCATTGGTTGAGTAACCTAGAACAAAAATTAAATTTAAGATATAATTATCATTCCGTTTATTTGGTTGATCACGACGTGATCTTAAAGTAGCTAAGTCTCTAACTCAATATCATTCAAAGTCTTACACGTTGAAAATACGAATTTTTTGTCAATTCAAATCAACATTGGTGTTGTGATCTTACCAGGAAAAGGTAGGCTTCTGATATGCAATATTTAAGACAAAATAAACATTTTACCATTGGTACACGAATCGTGAACCATGGTGCGTTTCAGCGTCATTTGTAACAAGTGACCAGAAAGAATGAGGATAGACATATTCCACAACTCATGTCAAACGGTGACGCCATATCTTATATGGAGAGCTTGCGCAATAGACTGTAATAACCAGACGCTAGAAATAGCTATTCGGTTGAGACTCATGCCGTATTTCGCTGGACATAACTGATTTGAAATTAGAGTCAAAACGGAAACAATTAAATGTAAATCAGTTTATATACAATCAGATTACATTATCATATGCGTTGCGACCCATTTGGGTCAATTTCTAGGTCTCAAATATTAGCGATTTGGTTCCTTTAAGACGTGTTTAGAGATTTAGAGCTAAATATGCCTATTGCAGGCCTTTTGTTTGGTTTAAAATGTTATTTTAAATTATTTTATTCGCATAGAAAGTCTATAATCAACGCTCTAGAGTCTAGATTATTTGCAAGATTTTAAAAAGTTAACGACCGAGGTTCTGTCTCGGTTGTCAAGTACCCTTGTTACAGTAATGAATAATCTACGCTATATCTTCCAACAGCCAATTTTCATGATTTGACCTATGATAGCAAGAACACCCAGTCCTTTATATAAATCTTACATAATGTATCTTTAATATATCAAGTGAAATGAAGGGTATGCATTTTATTCTAACCAATATCGATTTTTTGTAGAGATGCAGTCACAAGCAACTTTATCATTGAGGAATCGCTTTAGCATCATTGTATTAAAGATACATTATGGGAGATTAGATAAAGAGATGGCAGTTCTCGCTATAATAGTTAAGAACTAGATAGTGTAAAGGTAATTTGCTAGTCTCGGTCATCATTACTAAAATCATTAATATAAACAGCATAGTCTCGATTATCCAGTTTTTCTGATTTAATTATCAATAGCCGTTGCGGCATATAGGAATCTAATCCAGCCAACATCAAAGGCTAGCCTTGACATCGAGAGTTTATTATGGCCTGGATAAGTTAATTAATGTTTAATTGATAATTTAGATAACATTTCGGGCCTAAAGAAAGACTTGTAATAAGCAGATTTTGCTCTTGCATAATGCATGTTTAATTATGTATTCATTTTATATCAGGAAAGAAAAACAAGAAAAATCCCCTTGCGATGTAAACACGAATGTACTTGTGGCTATAAAATATCCTATATTCTATCAAATACAAAATAAAGGATAGGGTGATATTGACTTATTTACTAATAGATAACTCGTCCGTTTTAAAGGGGGCGTATCACAAATATCTGATGTAGGGGTGTGTATTTGTTTTTAGTATTTTGTCATCAAATATTCGTCAAAGAATATTAGTTCGAATCTGAATATTCAACCATGAACCGATTGCAACGGCCCACAAGATAAAGAAAGGAAGAAAAATAATTATCCAATTGCTCGTCTTCAAATGAATTGTAAGAGAGGGGAAACTCGACAGGCCTATTACAACCCTCTACTTTAATCCATAACAACGACTAGTCTCCTGTACGTGCGTCACTTCCGGAAGGTACAGATCAACCATAGCAACGATCTTTACTAAGAAATCATATTTGGAAGTTGTTTAACTTATTCTATCACATACGTGAAGTTTGTGGACAGCAACAGTCTCCCTTTAATGGTGCTCGCCATCCGAAAATAAGTCTCAATCACTCGAAGTGAATAAGGTGAAACTGTTTGACACGAGCTTTAAATAACAAAATAGTTTTGATTAGATCGGGTTACTAAGATACCAGCCACACACCGATATCATAATGACAGAAGCGATAACGACGGTTAAAATAAATACATGGGTTTTCTATGATTAATCAGCCAATCCCTCACAATCTCATAAACATGACCCTATACATGCTTATGTTAATTATAAGATCGATACTCGTCGATTTCGTAAAGTGTAGTTCAATTTTTCACTACCCGAATTATTCTACCTTGAAATCAACAGAACATTATTTTAAACAAATGGCGAGATTGTTCATCCTGATTATAAACATATATATTATTCAATTCAGGTTATGTTTACTTTCGTTTTATATTCCAATTTATTTTCAGATTTATCTTATTATTTATCTTAGTTAGTTTTAACTAAGTTTAATAAAGAGTTGGGCATTCTTGCTATAATAATTCAAAAAGACAATATTGAAAGTTTCAGTCAAATTACTTTATTCTGAACGGAAGTTTGGACTAGAAATGGGCATCAACTGTGTCCGCACCGTCTTCGAGAATTGCCGATCGTTTGATTGACAGACGATAACTCCACCCACATATTCTCGATTATCAAGTTGCATTCTCAATGGCTATGGTATCCTCGCATGGCAGGCCTTTTATCACCAGTTTCCCGCAGTGACGTCAGTGACTAACGGTAAACGTTAGCTTAGTCCGCAATTTATTGATTTAATTTGAAATGTACGACTGTTTAAATCCAAGCTGTATCCAAACCATCTGAGGGTCTACAGAGTTGATTTTGAGTCTGTCGTGTAAAGAAAGGTCTAATTGGAGCCTAAATAAAGACTTGCAATAGACAGATTTAGTTCTTGCATAATGTATGTTTAATGAGGGGATAATGTGAAAGGCAGTTTTGGGACCAAAAGTACTCTGTATTATGCATATTCTCAACCCAATATTTACTGGGAGATAATCTAGCATTGATATTTTGGTTAACTAAATGTTTAATAATCAATTTGAGACTTGGGTACAGTTTGCGTGAATTAAATCGTAAAAAAATGAGATATTGTTCGAAATATGCAAATGACGATGGTCGGCTGTAAATTATTTAAATTATAAACTAACAATGTTATAATAGGACCGACAGCTATTTTTCAATTCAGATAAATATGTAACAAACTATCCGTGATATTCTCTAATGCGAATAAGAGTATTTGATAACTTTTACATTAGTTATAAAACATCGTGATATTGACTGATATTCCAATGAGTCCATTATTTTGAAATGAAATGAAATGGGATTTAACGTCCTCCTGTTCTGCTCCGAACAGAGCTAATGAAGGTGGGCATAGGCCGTACAGTGTGCTATGAGGGAAATTTTGCCCGGACAGCGGCACTACGGCCTACTCTTATATCGAATTCCAACTGTCGAGGGATCTTTTACGTGCACGCCAACGTGTACACGGGACCTCGGTTTTTCGTCCCAACCGAACCACTAGACAACTGTCCTTGTCAGGCCCTCCGTCCAGGATTACTGATAAGAGGGAACCACGCTGGAAAATCTGGATGAACTTTTTCGGCCAATGCAGGAATCGAGCCAATGCCTTACCCACTTAGCCACCGTGACCTCCGCCGCATTATTTTGAGGATATTATATATTATATAGATGTTTGCTTTTTTTTCTATGCTGCTAATTTTGTATAGCTTCTTATCTACGTATATAGGTCTTAGTTACAAAGGTTATGGAAAATTATAGATGTTTGCTTTGTGGGTTTTTTTTTTCTCTCTCTCCCATATATAGTATAGTCTCTTATCTACGTTACACTCACTTTGTGTACTCTTTCAAACTATACTATTCAAAAAAAGTAGGGGATATTTGATTTTTAAGTGTTATTAAAGTCACCTAATGAAACTGACGAAGAAACAAATGACAAAATGAAATGAAGTTCACATTCATCGATTTATTCCAAATGATCGTTAGACTAAGTAAGGCACAGACTGACCATTATAAGGGTAAAATGATACCCGGGGTCAAACAGCAAAGTTACCACAGCATCACAACCAAGTCAGTAACGGGTAAATCCTCCTCTGTTTGCCAAACAAGCATTGATCCGACGTGGCATACTCCTAATGAGACGTCTAAGGTCATTTTGGTCCAGATTGTCCCATTCCTGTTGCAACGCAGCAGCAAGTTCTTGGACATTGGCAGGACGTTGTTGACGTTGACGTAACCTCTGTCCAAGCATGTCCCAGACATGCTCGATGGGGGAGAGGTCGGGACTCAGTGCTGGCCAAGGTAATGTGGTGATGTTCTGTTGTTGGAGGTAACCTGTAACGATCCTGGCCCTGTGACATCTTGCGTTGTCATCCGGGAAGATGAAACGGCGGCCATGACGTCATGCGAACGGCACAACATGGACTGCCAAGATGTTGTCCCGGTAGTACTGGCCTGTAACACGCCCTGCAACAACATGTAAAGCCGTTCTTCCAGCAACAGTGATGCCTCCCCACACCATAACAGAACCACCCCCAAATCGATCATGTCTGATGACGTTAACGTCTTGGAAGCGCTCGTTTCGACGACGCCACACCCTCCTACGTCTGTCCAAAAAATCAACAGTGAACCTTGACTCATCTGAAAACATCACATTGCTCCAGCGTCGATTATCCCAGTGTTGACGATCCCTACACCAACGACGTCTTGCCTGAATGTGATGATCTCTCAAACAAGGGATCACGCGAGGACGTCGGGCGCGAAGGTGACCCCTATGCAGTCGATTCCGAATCGTCTGGCCACTCACTCTCACACCAGTGTCTGTTTGAAGACGAGCGCTGATCTGATTTGCTGTGATGACACGATTTCTCAAGGCCAAGGTACGGATAAATCGATCCTGGGCTTGAGTTGTCGCCCTTGGTCGACCTGAGCGTGGTCTGTCCTGTACAGATTGTGTATCACGGTATCTGGACCATAGCCTGCTTATGACAGACTGAGAAACATTCATCGTCCGCGCCACAACCGCCTGTGTTGTGCCGATCTGTAGCATGCCAAGGGCACGTAACCTTTCATTTTGGGTAAGCCGACGCATATCAAAATTTGTTTTCTGGTCACTAAAACAATTAAACTGATGTTTCCACCCTGGAATTCAATGCCACAATGACTGTAACATTCAAAGTCAGAGTCGTGCAAATCTTGGGTTGGACCCCCATGATGATCCCAAGCATCACCTGCATTCCATGCGGTAGCTATTGGTGCGTTTGGGCGTCACAAGTAACTGGAAATGTTTCTTCTGTTAGGTTCTATAGTGACTTTTTTCGTAGTCATTTGCATATTTTAGTATTATGCCCCCAAAATCAAATATCCCCTACTTTTTTGGAATAGTATATTATTACGAAACAAATTACATCGATTGTGAAACAGTAATCGGCTTTCCTCGATACATTCCGGTAAATCCCGGCTTATTTGAATTTATTGTACAGAATTCCTTTTAGAGCTAATGTCTCCGAAATGTATAGGTGCATATAATGAATACACCTTCATATTCCGGAAGAGTCCAAGATTTCCGATATTATTTTATAATAGCAATTTATTTAAAAGTAGAGTGCATAATTTAGAAAAGTTTACGCATACATAAAGTTGACCATTTGTGCATAAAGTTTACCGTTTGTACATAAGTAAACCATCTGTAGATAAAGTTAACCGTTTGCACATAAATTAACCGTCTGTAGGGCCTACATATAGTTAACCATTTGTACATAAGAAAATTATTTGTACATAAAGTTAACCGTTTGTGTAATAGTTAGCCACCTATGCATAAAGTTAACAGTTTGTAAATAACTTAAACGTTTTTGCATAATTCACATATAAAGATAACCGTTTGAACATAAATTTATACATAAAGTTAAACGTCTTTACATAAATTTGTACATAAAGATAACCATTTGTATATAAAGTTAACCATTTTACATACAGTTAACCGTGTGTACATAAAGTTCACCCTTTGTATATAAGTTGACCATTTGTATACAGTTAAACATATATTATGCAAGAGCTAAATCGGCCAATTGCCGGTCTTTCTTTAGACATTAATTAACTTATCCAGACCCTAATCAACTCTCGATAGCATAGATAGCTTGCGTATTTACTTGATTAGAATCCGATTTACTGTCTTTGAATAAATCAAAAATTGGATAATCGAGACAATGTTTTTTATCTTAGCGATTGTAGTAATGATGATCAAGGCTAGGTCCAAAATTCAATCGCTAAATACGCGGTTCAGGGTGGATCAATTTGACTGAAATTTTCAGCAAATTCCCTTTTATATTTTCTAGTTTTTATCTATTATAATGAGAACTAACACCTCTTTATCTAATCCCCCATAATGTATCTTTAACCATTGGTACATAAGTTAACAATTTGTATACAGTTAACCATTTGTACATTAGTTAACAATTAGTGCGGAAAAGTTAAGAAATTGTATATTTACCACCACATTGTTATAATTTCCTGGCTGTTGTGGTTGTCCGTGCTGCTGGGGTTGTCCATACTGCTGGGGTTGGCCATACTGTTGGGGCTGTCCGTACTGCTGGGGTTGGCCATACTGTTGGGGCTGTCCGTACTGTTGGGGCTGTCCGTACTGTTGGGGCTGCCCGTATTCGGGTTTTGGTTGTTGTGGCTGTTGATCAGCTCCGTAATTGGTATAACCAGTACCATAGTTGTTGCTGCCCCCGGAGTTATTCAAGGTTTCAGTATAGTCTGGTGGTAATCCTGCCATGATACAATACATTAAAATAAGTGGGACAACAATTAAATAAAGGGAGGAAACGCCATTTATCTTTAATTTCTATAACACCTGATACCACTTATAATAATTAAACATTTCTGTCGCACTCTTGTATTTCAAAACCTTTTCTGTTTATGATCATTTCAAGAGGTTACCTTCTAGAAATTAATTTGGGTTTTTGACATCCAAACTATTCATGGGTGTCTTGTACGATATTGTGTATGCTCATTTTCTTAGAACATTTGATACCATTTCTCACCATGGTGTCGTATAGTCCCTGTGGTATTAAAATCCACATACTGTGACGATTATATTGTTATATGTCGGATTCAACTTTTCGCCATTTTGTGTCACGTGAGTATTTATTAACGGACCGGCTTGCAATCAAGCTGAATTACAAAAGAATGGCTGAAATATGGTTTAATGGTACATCAACGTCAAAATGGCTGTGTTGCGACAATGGCACAAAACAGAGAAATTGGGACACTGCTGAATACTACTGAAAGCTAGTTACTACTATGGTGTTAATTATTTTCATAGGGGTTGGGGATATCAGGCCGGTTTAGGGAGATCAGACCTTTTGGGGTGATCACAATCTGATTTAAGCACAGATCCTATTTCGTTTCGTTTTTATAGTTCAAAATTTCGTTTTACTTGTCTTTACTACACTAGCGTAGGCCATCGAAAGTATAAAAAACGAAACGAAATATATGTCTGTATTTTAATCAGATTGGTAAAATCAGGCCAATTGGAAAGGTCAATCAGGTTGGAGTGATCAGACAATATGTTGGGGAGACCAAATCCAGCATTCTGAAAATTCCAGCATAGGAAAATTCACCTTTCAAAATGTCTGCGTTATAATTACGTTTGGTTTTATGGTATCGGAAATTCCATTACACCAAGTCTCTTGGCACCAAATGCGTCAGGGTTAGGGATAAACTGAAAACACACAATCCCACTCATACATGTATATTGTATTGTACAGTCTGTTAACCTATATACCAAATATCTATTGAATTTTCTGGAGTTCAAAGACTTCAAAGCCTTATTTTCGTATAGACCCTTTCTGTACATTATAGTGTGCGTGTGACTGAAAAAAAATTTTTTTTATTACCTCCTGCTTTTTCAGACATTTTCGATGTTTTTGTATCCCAGCTATAGATCCAAATGAATTATTGAGCTATGTGACCCAGCTTGTCGGCCACAGGATTGTAATCTAAGACGAACAAGTTATTGGGCAAGATTGAAAGGAAATCACCAGATAAGAGGTCAAATGATATCTGGTTAAAGATTAATAAATATCACAATGCTTTGATACCATAGTCATGTGAATATTAATGCAAACACACATTATGACAACCAACTATATTCGGTATACGCCCACTTTTAGAAGACCAAATAATGAAATGGTGTTTATGGTCCTACTTTTCAGCACCAGAGAGAGAGAGAGAGAGAGAGAGAGATAGAGAATGAGATGGGGTTTAACGTTCACTCGACACAAACTAGATCATTTCTGGACTAACACATGGTTCAATTTTATTTCAATAATTCGCTTGCGCGTAGGGTTTTTTAGCAATGAGGGGAAACCGAAGGACCCGGAAAAACCCCACGAGGTTGGACAGGCGACCCTACGCCTTGTCACGTACAACCTGGGAATCGAAACCCCACCAGTAGACTCAATGGCAGACCGTATGATAATATGCCGTGGGGTGAATTTTGCCTTGCTCTTATTTCAAAGGATCTTTAAGCCCACGCCATTGTCAACAGCGGACCTCGGTTTTTCGTACCATCCGAACGACTAGACACTGTTCCTGGTCAGACCCTTCGTTCTGCACAACTGACAAAGGGAAACCACGCTGGGGAAATCATGATGAACTTTCTCGGCTAACATCGTGAGCGAACCCCAGACCTGGTAAACGAGTCGGAATCTTACTCACTGAGCTGCCGCGGCTATATTTTTTTAAAAAAAAAAAATTTTTAAAATACAGACTAGTCCATGTTAAATTAATTATATGCATTTCTCTCTGATATGTTACAATATAACATTTCCTTCACTCTTTTTAGTTGACTTTTCGTTATGTGATTTGAGGTACAATTGTAACCAATCTTACCATGTTTTTCGTTTCGTTTTTTTTTACGGAATTTAAGTCAGCCTATAATTACAAACTTAACATTGTTAACCAGGCATTTTTTAGGGGATTTGAAGTAGTGGGTTCCGGGGGAAAAGTGGATGTGTTCGGGGGAGAGTGAGTGTGTTTGCATTGTGGAGGGGGGGGGGGGGCGGGGGATATTTGAACAAACGGTCGTGATCTGGTGCATATTTACATGTATGTATCGACTGACGCCCCCACATAATTTTTTGCTCTTATGTACTTCCCTAGCTGTGTATCCTTTACCAAAAGCTTTGGACAAATTACGTTCTTCATGAGCTGAACATGTACCGTCACCGTCGTTCCATCAGATTTAAAATTGGGCACCGTAAGTGGGCGAGCAACGGCTTTGTATTAATTTTGGACTTTCTGTACACTCTTTCAAAAGCAATCATTATCAAACATCGCTATCTTCATTAGTCAGGTCTTTAAGACGTTGTAGGGCACAAACAACAATGCACCAAATATTGTTTAATTTGGTAACAGGTTTAATACATCTCAAAATCTTATACAGTTGATCGAAGATCTTTCATCAAGACTAGAGACATAGGCTACATATTAATAAATAATGATGACGGTGGTGGTGATGGTGATTAGAGTTGAGGTGGTGGTGGTGATTGACTGAAAAGGATAAATAAACCAATCAAGCACCTGACAATAATTATCAATAAACTATACTATTCAAAAAAAGTAGGGGATATTTGATTTTGGGGGCATAATACTAAAATATGCAAATGACTACGAAAAAAGTCACTATAGAACCTAACAGAAGAAACATTTCCAGTTACATGTGACGCCCAAACGCACCAATAGCTACCGCATGGAATGCAGGTGATGCTTGGGATCATCATGGGGATCGTCAACACTGGGATAATCGACGCTGGAGCAATGTGATGTTTTCAGATGAGTCAAGGTTCACTGTTGATTTTTTGGACAGACGTAGGAGGGTGTGGCGTCGTCGAAACGAGCGCTTCCAAGACGTTAACGTCATCAGACATGATCGATTTGGGGGTGGTTCTGTTATGGTGTGGGGAGGCATCACTGTTGCTGGAAGAACGGCTTTACATGTTGTTGCAGGGCGTGTTACAGGCCAGTACTACCGGGACAACATCTTGGCAGTCCATGTTGTGCCGTTCGCACGACGTCATGGCCGCCGTTTCATCTTCCAGGATGACAACGCAAGATGTTACAGGGCCAGGATCGTTACAGGTTACCTCCAACAACAGAACATCACCACATTACCTTGGCCAGCACTGAGTCCCGACCTCTCCCCCATCGAGCATGTCTGGGACATGCTTGGACAGAGGTTACGTCAACGTCAACAACGTCCTGCCAATGTCCAAGAACTTGCTGCTGCGTTGCAACAGGAATGGGACAATCTGGACCAAAATGACCTTAGACGTCTCATTAGGAGTATGCCACGTCGGATCAATGCTTGTTTGGCAAACAGAGGAGGATTTACCCGTTACTGACTTGGTTGTGATGCTGTGGTAACTTTGCTGTTTGACCCCGGGTATCATTTTACCCTTATAATGGTCAGTCTGTGCCTTACTTAGTCTAACGATCATTTGGAATAAATCGATGAATGTGAACTTCATTTCATTTTGTCATTTGTTTCTTCGTCAGTTTCATTAGGTGACTTTAATAACACTTAAAAATCAAATATCCCCTACTTTTTTTGAATAGTATATCTTAATAAAGAAACATAAAATAGCATCGAGTGCCTGGAATTTTCTGGGACCTGCACAACCACGTGATAAATCAGTCATGCATGTCGACTGTCAATATCATCGAATAATAACAATATATGACTATAACACATTACAAAACTTATGGATTAGATTAAACTATAACTTAATATGCTGCGGTAATTCATCTTACCGTGTTTTATGCCCTCCAAGCGTTACAAAACTGGTGCTGAAGACCACGCTTGCTTAAGCGAACAAGTTGTCAATTAAATAACAGTCTCCTACATCCAGGCGCAAATTAAGTCAACTAAAACAATGACAGGCCTAAATAATCTAGACTACCTTCTCGCTTAAAGTTGATCAAAATTTATGGAACTTTAAAACCCATTTCATATCATAAATCACAGTAATAAAGGCTGCCCCCAACTGTTTTCATTTTTTTACCTGTTATAACGACGGGGTAAGAAAGAGAGTGAAACAAGATAGTGTCACTTTGTCATGACTATTTTATCTGTGCAAATGTAAACATCCACTCCTTGTATTTGATATAAACATAGTTCATTATCGCAATCTATATTATTGCGTACTTAGCTGAATTACCCGATATATATATATGACTTAAACGAATAAAGAACGTGAACTTGAATATAAGCGAATCGGTAATTTAGTATTATTAATTCAGCATTGATTGTTTAGTGAGTTGGTAATCTGCACTTACCACGGATTGCTGCTTAGTTGGTAATCTGAACGCCCATATCTCGGTTATTTCTCAACAAACAAACTGTGGACGGACGGACAGGGGCGACGACAATATACGCCCACATGAAAATGTGGGCGAATAAAAAGGTTTACAGATATTATAGTAGATATATTTTGGGGAGAACTTATATAGGTCCTCTTTTGTCTGTTGTTAAATCCTATTCAGTTTAAACTAAATTACTCTTACCAATACTCTATAATTTGACATTTTCCACAAAGGGAGATAATTCCTTGTATCGTAATTGGGTGTTCCCTTGTCCATTATGTGTTCCTGGTGTTATTAGTTTTCCAAAAATGTACAGTTTGTTTAGCAAGGAGAACGTTGTAGTGGAACTTCACGCTAGAAATATTGGCTGTAGATCTAATTTGAATAAAAGCTTTATTTCATCTTTAAGCAATCAATAGGTTTCCCATTGCCCTTCACTGTGCCACTAGTGATACACCATAGTATCTATATATATATTTGTGACTGTCGCTTGTCTGTCTGTCTTTCTGTCTGTCTGTCTGTTCGGGGTTGGCGGCTACACTAGGTCTACCCCGAGTCTGAAATTTGGGGTATAGGGGTAGCTCGGACCGGGGAGTAACATAGGCCAGGTGGCGTTAGTCTACCACTTCCGGTTTCGGAGTTATGAACCCCGAGCGAAGCCGGTCTGTTCGGGGTTGGCAGCTACACTAGGTCTGCCCCGAGTCTGAAATTTGGGGTATAGGGGTAGCTCCGACCGGGGAGTAACATAGACCAGGTGGTGTTAGTCTACCACTTCCGGTTTCGGAGTTATGACCCCCGAGCGAAGTCTGTCTGTTCGGGGTTGGCGGCTACATCTGCCCCGAGTCTGAAATTTGGGGTATAGGGGTAGCTCGGACCCGGGAGTAACATAGGCCAGGTGGCGTTAGTCTACCACTTCCGGTTTCGGAGTTATGACCCCCGAGCGAAGCCGGGTATCCTGCTAGTAGTCCATAAAACAAAATGGCCCTTTTTAAAGATGGGTTCCCAGAAAAGTATTTATCGGGTGGTTATTTCCAATAAAAGTATGGCAATTTTGGTATATATGGAAAGTAGAGAAATCCAATCTTACTAGAAAAATACTGGATTCCCCAAAAAACACTCGTATACAGGACAAAAATGTAAGGGTTCCCCTAATCAACAGCCCGACGATTATGACCTTCTGCACGCACGATGTCAAAGGTCACAAGCGAACATTGAGCGCTTGATTTACAAGTTGATAAACTTTATGAAGAGTTAGACGTACAATACTTTCTGAGATAAAAATGACGGAAAAAGACGCGGGTAGTGGATAATCCGAGAATTTAATTAGGATTCGATATTTGTAATAAATAGTAAGCGATTAAAGACAACATCGTCTTATGTATGCAATGATTTCTCCTCTGACTCCCAAGACGTGACGTAAACATGACCTGGTTTGATCGGATTTTAATAGCAGGGCATTCCTTCGCAATTACAATGCTTGAGAAGGATTTGAAGCATAATTATGACACATTAATTAGTTTAAATATGTTTTTGGTCCATATATACCATTAAATCACCCAGTTTGTACGCGGGAACCCATCTTTAAAAGAAAATATTTGAAAACTTTGAGGTCCTATAAAAAAAATTCAGATTACAAGTCTTGATGGCTGAAGTTTGATTATCTGAGCAACTTTTAGATACTAACATATTGGCATTAAAGCTAGTATAAATACCTTAAGCGGTCAGTCATGAAAATTCCCTTTATTTTACTGCACTCCGTCAAAAACTCAAGTCTCAGTACAGTAATGGCTAGAGAGGGATTGCTTCGAGAATATGTTTGTAGGCCGGTTGGGGAGGTTCGGGAATTTCCGACGGTAAGTTTTTAACAAAGTACTCTTTAACTTTCATCAAATTGAACGGTCATTTAGGTGCTTAGAACTTTATGACCTCAGCTGATTTTTGATAATATATGATATTGACTTTTCAACTCTGTATAAACTTATCTTAATGCACAGACTAGCGATGATCTAATTAAACATGTAATTAATCCCATATGTCATTTACAAACTACATTATTATGATCTGTGCACACGTTCCGCTTTACATCAAAGGATATACGTATTGGTCAGTAAGGATGTCGTGACGAGATAAAAGAAACAATTGCATGTATGACCATGTGTCCAAAGGTATATAACGAGGAGTTTGCTGACAGTTAGGCAGACAACTAAAGAGGACCACAGACGGGTGGAGAAAAGAGGCTTGGACGAGTGCATGGACTCGCCTGAGTTCAGCCGCTGCCTAATTGGCAGAGGGGCAGAATGGTGGATTTAATATAGTTAGTTCCCGATGTAGTTAGTTCTTATATAGTTTAAGTATCTGTATTGCTGTTGTAATTATATAGATGTGTGATATTCTGTTCCCATTGTAAATAAATCCTATACATGTATTTACTAAACTGATCTCTGTAAAACTAAAATAGTGTTACAAGTTGGACCGAAGTTAAGTCCACAATGGCCGCTTTATATAAATGTGTATTTTGGACAATACTAACCCTAACCATTTTAAGAGGGGAAAAGGCCGGACCCAAGTTCAGTCTTCTAAAAAGGGTTAGGGTTGGTATTCTCCCAAAATACCCATTTATGGGAAAGGATTCGGCAATCATTATCCGAGTGAAACGTCAAACAAACCGTATTTTCGATGTAGACGGGACTAACCAGGGGCTTATATTCATCTTTAACACAAATAATGTCAGCCCCTGGAACCCTATATCTTTGTGCTTCAGCATGCCTTTCCAATTAGTAAAGCGGCCACAACATGTCCACCATCCAACCCATGTTTTACGATCATTTGCTGTAGACTTTGTTAGAACTATACGATTGGATATTGACATTGTACAAATCACACAAATCATTCATTTATAACACCTGTTTATATACAACAGATACACATATTGTAATTAGGATTTTTATTACAAAATTCAAAAACATGTAAAAACTATAATCTTGTATAAATTTGACCCCAAAAATAATATATATAATACCCGTATATAACCTAAGAAAGACGATATATTTTTATTACAAGATTCAAAAATTCTTGTATATGTGGAATACTGTATAAAAATTGAAATATAACATATTGTAAATATATTATTCAAAAATGATAAATAAATACCCCCCCCCCCTTCCCGACACTTAATAACAAAATTCTTCCTCTTCATATCCCTCTCTATTTCAATAATTTAAAACTAATTCTCTATTTCAATAATTTAAAACTAATTCTATGCCCATTCATCCAAAACCAGTCGTGACTGGTACTTACAATATTAATTCATACCGCACAAACAAGATATAGTTGAATTAATAACTAAAGAATCTTTCAAGCACGCTTATTGATAAATATAACGGTTAAATTAACACTTAACAACAAATTCCTATTCATAAATATATACATATATATACACAAACATTCACACTTAAAACAACCATAACCTATTCTTATTCACAAACATACTGTTGAATTAACAATTAAATTAAAACAACTCTCGCACAAACATACAGAAGAATTCACGCTTGATGCAATTCTCTTACAAACATACTCACAATTAAGTTGAATGCACGGTTGATGGAACTCTCACAAACATACCCACAATTAAGTTGAATTCACGGTTGATGGAACTCTCACAAACATATTATTCCCAAATAGTAGATAAACCAGATACAACATCAATAAAATATGATTTGGCGTTGATTCTGTGTCTGTTAAAATACAAGTTTCTGTCCATCGCCCATTCTGGTACATCAACGACTTAATCTTCAGAAAGATCATCAGCCCAATTAACAAAATCTTTTGTCAAGTTTTCTTTAGCATCGCTATCTAAACCTGTTACTCGAGCAGATCCTATTTGGCTGGTTTCAGTAGTGGCATTAAATTTAAAATCAGGAATCAAAGCCCAGCTAGGAATGTCTACGGCTCCTTCATACACGGGTTCTTCAGCCCAGTTGATGACAAATTTAGGGCAGATTGGGTCAAATTCTCCAATATTGTCTTGGGCGAAAGAATAGATATGGCGGTCGTAATCTAATCCAGGAATTAATGCCCAGCTAGGGACATCTGCGGGTCCATCATACACAGGTTCGTCAGCCCAGTTGATAACATATTCATGGTAATGTCTTCTAGAACAATCATCTTTATCATGTCGATTAAAATCAAATGCAGGTATCAAAGCCCAGTCAGGGACATCTACGGGTCCATCATACACAGGTTCGTCCGCCCAGTTGATAACATACTCAAGGTAAATTTGACTGAAGTCATCAATATTGTCTGTGGTAGAGTAATCATCTTTAGCATGTCGATCAAAATCTAATCCAGGTATCAATGCCCAATAAGGAATATTTGTTGGTTCTTCATATGAGATTTCGTCAGCCCAGTTGATTACAGAATAATGTTGGTTTTGGTTTAAGTTCAACTGACAAGTGTCGTCTAACTCTTCGTCCAAATTTTTAGTATCTCCATTGGATGATACTGATGATAGAGATGATGATGTTGGAACTCTCATTTCACAAATCTTCTCGTATCCATGGTTGGATTTCTTATAGTAAGATACAACTGAAAAAAGTGAAATCATTTTAAGAAATGAAAATAAGAAAGTAAAAGACAAATAAATAATTGACCCTATATAATAAATAAATGTTCAAATCCACTACAAGTAAAGTACGTAAAACAAGGGTCTTCGTGCATGTATTGCACACCAAATAATTGTTTGGCAGTTGGAATCAAAGAGTAGGCGAAAACGCCGGTAACCCCTTCCCCATCCCCGCATTTCACACGTAAGTATAAATACAAAATACCGTATGATCGTGTCAAGCGACAAGTCGATAACAAATAAATAAATAATTCTAACCATTTTATTTGTGTGATTTCATCAACTGCATGTTGATTTTGATCTTACTGTGAACGGACACCGTAAACGTGTTCAGGTTTAATAGCAGTAATAACGGTAGGGTTGATTAGTATAGTAACGCGTTAGACTTACTAGAAGTATAACTAGTAAAGTGTTAGACTTACTAAAAGTATTAACTGTAGAGTTGACCAAAAGAGTGTTAGACTTACTAGAAGTATTAACTGTAGAGTTGATCAAGTCTTCATCAGTTAATGTAACAAACATGTTATTATCATCATATATCATCTGACTTAATACATCACAATAGTCTAAACTACTATCACTATATTCTGGTATTTCTCTGGAATAAATATAATACAAAATAAAAGTAGACGTAAAAGAAAGTAAAATACTCTTTATACTTCAAATTTCTTTAATTTAAAAAAGCAAAAACCGTATTCAAAACATATAACAGAGAAAATCTGTTTATCTATTTGTTTTTACCTGTTCTCAACTCAACTACGAAAATAATGAAACCCTATTAGAGATTTTAACGGGTTATTTTTCTTTCAATTTTTAGAATAGAATTCTTTACAATATAATTAAATATACTTACAATACAGTCATAGCTGATGTTATACTTTCCTATCCGGATTCACAATAACGTAGAAAATGTAATAAATTTCAGAGAATTATCACAGCGCGTCTTTCTCTTAGCAGATAAAATAGCTCAATGATACAACAATAAGATGACGTTTTACCAATTGTGACGTCATAATTAAAAGACGTCAAAAGTTTTGTTGAATTTCCCCCCAAACAAGAAATCAAGTTGGATTGTTCTTTGAAGCTTTTCCACGAAACTTGTCATTTTTTGTCGAAATTTTCGCCCAAAAAAGGATTTTTCCTAATCGATCAGCCTCTCTGTGTGTTTTTGTTACCCCTAAGCGATCGCCATGTTTCTTCTACAAATTGAAAACAAGTATGGCGGTCGTTTAGGACCTTACCTTTGTTTTATTTAATTATTTCTGTAATTTTATAATCGGAGTTCAGCTTTAAGTTTCATCAAAATCGGACAAAAATTGTAACCAGCCAGACATCGGTTTCCCGCGATATAACTCTCTATTTTTGAAAACAATCAAATGATATGTCCATTTTGCATCATTATATTGTAGTATTAGATAGTATGTGGTGATATTGAGGTGGTATTGTGTAGTACAGGGTAAATAGTCCTGCCAATGGTATACGTAAAACCTTAGTGTTTCGTCCCATCCAAACGCATATACGATTTTTGTTTCCAGGCACCACTAACAAATGAAAACAATAAGGCAAATTTCGGGGAATTTTCTCAATCAAATCCGGAATCAAAAACTAATGTGAAGCTGCATCCATATCTGTGGTGTACGAAAATCTATTAACATTGTTATTTGCAAAGTCAAATGAGATTTGAGAAATCTAAAAAATTTGCTACATCTGAATCATGCATAAAATGAAATGAAATGTGGTTTTATGGCACGTCAGCTCAAGCCAGGCTATATTGCGCCAAACATATGGTGAAAGCTCTGAAACATGCACCCAAGAAAGACCAACAAGAGAATTATATCAATCAGGACAGAATTTAATCATATAAAATTTTACCCACAAAAACAAACAGATACAATAATTCAACAAAGCAACCAAAACAACTATATTAACACAACGTGATCAGGATTACATTTGTATCTATATAAATAATTCTGAACATCTTATTGTGGACGAAGTTCGAACATACACACAGTAGTTTTTGTTACATTTATGGTCTCTGTCATATTGTGGTACACCCAAAGGCCACTGTGTTATATTTTCTAACATTATGTTTGTTACATAAATGATCACAACATTGTACTGTTTAAATTAGTGTCTCTAGTCATGATCACTTTCATGTTACTGTTTTTACTCTTAGGGTTACTATGTTTTAATTAGGTACTGCTCATATTTTAGGCTTTGGTTTGTTCAAATAATGATTATTTAAGGTTGGTATGTTACATTATGTTAAATTCAAGGTTACTATACTACGTTTTGTTCAATTCAGTAAGGGTTTTTATGTTATATTTTGTTCAATTCTCAATTAATATGAGTTATATTTTGTAACATTAAAGGTTGGTATGTAAACATTATGTTGAATTCAAGGTTGCTGTGCTACATTTTGTTCAATTCAGTAAGGGTTTTTATGTTATATTTTGTTAAATTCTCAAATAACATGAGTTATATTTGGTTACATGTTTCATATTTTGTTGCATACAGGGTTACTATGTTATGTCACTAGTGTTACATTCAGACTTAATATATATGTTACTAAGTCCTATTTTGTTACAGTCATAGTCACATGTTCACTCTGTTACACTGATTATCACAAAGCTAATGGTCACTATTTAATGTTCATTATATTTGTATAATAATTATTAAAGTTACATCTATGGTTTGTTACATCTATAGTTACAACATAATATATACAATTATTAGCTGGACTGTAATACAAGAAATATTAAATCATACAATGTCATTAACTTTCAAGCATAAATATATATACCCTTCAGGATGAATCCCAGATAGTATTTTAATAAATAAAACTGGTTAATTTGGGTTCAAAGACTTTATGTTAACCTTTATTCTGATACTGTGCAACTACTATCAAAAATTAGTCATTCGGATGGGACAAAAATAAATGTAAATGAACTCCAGACAAGATGAGTTCAATGTAATTATGTTATAATTTATCAAATAAATACAAACCTTCAGTTTCCAAGAGACTTTGGCGGAAAGTCCATCAGTCAGGACTACCCCTTTAACAACTGATCATCGGCTCAACTTGTTTATTTTAAGATCAGGGCCCTGTTTCTTGAAATCTTAACTAAACATAAAATCCAAATTTTAGTAGATACTTCAGTTTTGATTGGCTTAGTACTAAAATCAATCTAATATTATCCAATCAAATTACTAAAATTCAGATTTTATCCTAGTTAAAATTTCGGGAAACAGGGCCCTTATTCACAAAAACTTAAACTAAGTTACAACCGAAATTTTAAGATATACTGCAACTTCATTGGATATATGCAAATTGATTTTACTGGTCAGCCAATCGAATTGCAGTATTTCTTAAAATTTCGATTGTATCTTAGTTTAAGTTTTCGTGAATAAGGGCCCTGGCCCCAGAATGATAGATAATAATCAGTTATTTTTAGATAAAAAAAATACACTACCCTGGTTCAACAAATCCACTCTCACTATGCAAATTATACAATGTATATAAGGCAATTGATGTTACAATTGAACGGAAATATTTTTATTGTCATGAAATAAATAGGACTTTATAGAATAATAATTATGAAAAATAAACAGTTTTAAGAGGAGTATAAATTATGAAACAGGCCCATTTCCATTTCACAAGGCAGTATTATTATCAAAAAGAAAAATAATAAGTTCTAATATGAATATAAATTGCGATACTAGTAAAAGAGGTAAAATGGGTTCTAAATTTTAGTTCTAGAATATAACATTTTAAAAAAGCACTGATACTATCATTCATAAAGAAAAATAAACAAAAAAAATCTAATTTTTTTTCTGGATCAACAAATTCATTATAACATATTTGAGAATATATCAGATATTATTTGATTTAAAAAACAAACAGTTTTTAAATGACATGTTTAAATTAGGGGCCTGATGTGCTTGACTATTGTGATAATATGGATTATTTTAATCAGAATTAAGAAAATGTAAAAAAAAGTATTTATTATTCTTTCTTTTGGTTCCTTTTTCGTAAACCGGCTTTCCTGGCTCCTAGCATAATATTTCTTTCAACCATCTTTGGAAGTATAGATGCCATCAAAAATCCCTGAAAATACATATATCCATAAGTACCAAAATTGCATTTTTTTAGACAAGAATAGAAGATAGATTATTTTTGTTAGTGCCAGTAATATCTTTTTGGGTCACCTCAAACTTTATCACAGACTGTTTGGTGTTGGTTGTTATACCAGGGCAGCCCAGGGGCTGAAATACAGGGCATAAGCATTTTGCACACAGAGAACTATCTACTTCAATAACAGATCTCTGCCATAAATGGGCGCCGTATCCAACAAATAGTATACTGTTTTGTTATGTGGTCCTACTCCGGTTCACATCTGTTATACACATAAAGACTAACTAAACCTCTTCAATTTTATTAAATGAAATAAAAGCAGAATATATATATATACTTCTCAAAATTCTCAAATATACTTAAGTGTTTTCGACTAAGACTTGATTTAGGATTTAAAATGTCGGTCAACCAGTTTAGTGTCTGTTCTCAAGCGGAGCTAATTGTAGACAGACAACGTAAGTTTAGTATGGGGTATAACGACATCCTGAGTCAGTGAGTGGCAGGGTGAAGGCCTACCCGTACAACACAGGGTAAACAGCTAGTCAACTGTTCAGAATTCTTTTATTCCCTTGAGGGAAAGAGAAAATTGTTTCAAAAATTCGAAAATGGTGTCTTAACAAATGTACAATGGTTTTAGATGGCTTTATATAAACATGGGGGGGGCTGTATGGCCAAATGGTTAGCCCATGCATGCTGTATCATAAGGTCTGTCATTTAGGGAGTTGGTGTTATTTGATTCCCCGGTTGTACGTGACAAGGAGTAGGGTTGCCTGTTCAACCTCGTGGGTTTTCTCCAGGTCCTTCGGTTTCCTCCCACTGCCACAGACCCCTACGCACAAACGAATTATTGAAATAAAATTGAACCATACGCTAGTCCCGAAGTGACTTGATTTATGTCGAGTGGACGTTAAACCCCATTTCTCTCTCTCCCTCTGTATATAAACATTTTTCTAATTCTGTAGCTTGTGTATAGGTCATGTCAGTGATTAGCAGTTTGAGGCAACTGAGAAAACCCAGAAAACCACCATGGGTTCAGTAGGCTGTCTATCCTATATTAATAGATCTATATATCTGTACATATATTACAATATTACAGGGTATATAGCAAGAAATTAGCACTTTATATTCTGGTTCACATACAATTTCAGTCATTTCCTTCCCATTACAAGATCTGGACAAAAGAATGGACGTTAAAGTCTAGATATCGATTGTCCAGTGCCATTTATGATTTAGCAGGGTTGTGTACTTGATAGCTGAGCCTACTGGCCCCTTCCTAATACCACCAGAAGTGTTTAATACAGTTACTGCCCCTTATATGAACTTGCAGTAATCAAGTTTTGAAAACCAAAATGGGCCAAGTGACCATATTTTAAGGATTCAGTGTTTTCTGACAAACTAAATAGCTTGATATTAGAGTAACATATGTTAATTACCTGAACAGCATGGGACCAGAAACCAAATGTCCTGTTTTCTATACCTACAGTAGACAGGGCACTACGAACATAGGTTGTTGGTGATGGGATCAAGAAACTAGTGTTTTTGATTTTAGAAAGCTTTGTTGCCACAAAACCTGGTAGTACAACCTGAAAAAGTTGTTAAATATATTTAATACAAACACAACTAATAATGAAATTTAAAGGAAATGAAATGGAGTTTAAAGTCCTACTGTTCTGCTCCTAAACTGGGATACAGTGTGCTATGAGAGAAAATTTGCCCGGGCAGTGGCGCTACGGCCTACTCTTATATCGAATTCCAACTGTCAAGGGATCTTTTACGTGCACTCCAAACGACTAGACAGCTGTCCTTGTCAGGCCCTCCGTCCTGCATCACTGACAAGGAGAAACCACGCCGGAAAATCTGGATGAACTTTCTCAGCCAATGCAGGGATCGAACACCCGACCTCTAGGCTAGCGAACCAGCATCTTACCCGCTTAGCCAACGTGATCCCCAACAACTGATAACAAACACTAATAAAATTAATCTTCTTTGATTGGCATTTAGTAATTGAACATATTAACACAAGGTACAATTTTATGGATACACAATTACTGAGTTTAATACTAAGTGACGTTTCGACAAGGATACTTTCGTCTTTATCATGCAAATAATATAGGTATGTGAATAGTAGGCAAATATATACAGAATATGCTACAAAATAACAATCAAATACAAGTAAAATTTAACACCTTTGATTAATGAGAGGGCCATTTACAAATAAACCTACACAACATAAATTCTTACGGGGATTAAAAAGGGGGGGGGGGGGAATGGCCCTCTAATCAAAGGTGTTAAGTTTTATTTGTATTTGAGTGTTATGTTTGTTGCATATTCTGTATATATTTACCTACTATATTCATGATAAGATTGTAAAGGTGTTGTTTCTTCAACAGGTAAAAAAAATATAGTGTTTAGGTATTCATACCATACCTGAACTGTGACACCTTTATTACTAACTTCTTGTTGAAGAGTTTGTGAAAAATAGTCCATATAAACCTACAAAACAGAATTAAAGAAATTAACAAAAAGTACTTGTGTATTATGTAATGAAATGAAATAAAATGGGGTTTAACATCCTACTGTTCTGCTCCGAATTGCCTAATGAAGTCGGCCATACGCCATACAGTGTGGTATGAGGGAAATTTTGCCCGAACAGCGGCACTACGGCCTACTCTTATATTGAATCTCAACACTTGGCAAACCTCGGCAGATTCCGTTACTCTACATCTCGCCTGGGCTGTATGATGGTAAGTGATATGTACCTACACCTATACAATTGTGATGCGGTACCGGTTTACTTATTAGGAAAACTTGCCGCTTCTAAAACAAAGTTCTCAAAATTGCCTTGTTTGCAGAGTGTGTAGAATTTTCAGTGCAGAGTTGTCCTTCTTTGAAGAAAATCGGATAAACTTGAAAGTAAAACAGCTTCAGACTTTGAAATATTCGTATGATAAAACATTTTCAAAGGCATCGTCATGGCAACGCCATTGGTAATCCTGGAACTTGAAAGAAGTTCCAATGGCAGACTTCTTCATGTGGCCGAGGCTAGATGTAGGGTACTGGAATCTGCTGAGGTTTGGCGAATGCAAATTCCAACTGTCAAGGGATCTTTACCTGCACGCCAATGTGTATACAGACCTCGGTTTTTTGTCCCATCCGAACGACTAGACAGCTGTCCTTGTCAGGCCCTCAATCCTGCATCACTGACAAGGGGAAAATGCACTGGAAAATCCCTATGAACTTTCTTGGCCAATGCAGGTATCATACACCCGATCATACACCCGACCAGACCGACCAGACAAGAGGCATTTTCGCCTACTCGTCTTCAATTTGCAAATCTCTGATGTGTAAACGGGTGAACAAGTGATGAACGTGCTAATAAATTCCAGATTTGAACCTTGGACACTCTGGTGCTCTGACCAATCGACTCCCATGATTCCCCCAATTAATTAAACAATCAATGTGTGTAAATTTTCGCACGGATTAAAGCATGAACACTGTGCAAAACATGCACAATTGGGAACAGCATCTTTTCAGGGCAGCCATGTTCTGGTTTACAGTGATACAAATGGAAGTCCCTAAAACTGGAATCTATAAATAATTTTTTTTTTACCTTACTAGCAGAATAAAGGCCTAATAAAGCAAGTGGGGCTGTGGCAGCTGTTGATGCGATGTTGATGATGTAACCACGTCTTCTTTCAACCATAGCAGGTAATACTATGCTGGTTAACTATAATAAAACAGTTATATAAATAAGCTAAAGATAGGTTCCCAGAAAAGTATTTATCGGATGATTATTTCCAATAGAAGTGAGGCAATTTTGGTATATATGGAAAGTAGAGATATCCAATCTTACTAGAAAAATACTGGATTCCCTGAAAAACACTCATGGAGCTTATACTGGACAAAAATGACATTTCCCCTAATCGACAGCCCGACGATTAGGAATGTCTGCTCGCGTGACGTCGAAGGTTGCACACGAAGATAGAGCGCTTGGTGTACATGTTGATAAACCATGAAGAGTTCGACGTACAACACTTTCTGAGATAAAAATCCTGGAAAAAGACGCGGGCATTGGATAATCTTAGAATTTAATTAGGATTCGATATTTGTAATAAATAGTCAGCGATTAAAGACAACATCGTCTTGTGTATACAATGAATTCTTGTCCGACCTCGCAAGGGTTGCTATAGGTACCGAGGGAGGTAAGTCACGTGACACAAACATGACCTCTTTTGGTCGATTTTTATAGCAGGGTATACCTTGTCAATTACAATGTTTTGAGAAGGATTTGAAGCAAAATTATGATAAATTAATTAGTTTGAATATGTTTTTGTCCAAATATATCATCAAAACGCCCAGTTTGTACGCGGGAAAGTATTTCTAATTGATACTATGATAGGAGGTAATACCATGATGGTTCACTATAATAAAACAGTTATATAAAATAAGTTAATTGATAGCAGGTAATGCCATGATGGTTGACTACAATAAAACAGTTATGTAAAATCAATTAATTTTAAAATTAGAAGTGATACCAGATGTTCTAGAAATAGTAAGCATACATAGTTGCTGCCCTGTTCATCTTAATTATTCAAATATTTCGTTTATTTGTTATGTTACAAAATTTTAGTCCAGGGATAGGAGAGACTAACATTTGGTTCAATTTTATGTCAATAATTCTCTTGCACATAGGGGTCTTAACTTCTTGATCTAAAGCGCATGCGTTAAAGTTACAATTTCATATTTTCTAAGAAAGTCAAAACATAATTATTTCTATGTCTTTTGTTCAACAGGTTGTCAACTCACTATTATACGATCATAGGTGTCATTCTCACACTTAAAACTCATTTACACCGGAAATAATAACACAATTACCTCCCTTGTTTTCTATTCTCCACCATGGAGTAGCTATCCTCAAACGTTTGAATTTGAAGAGGAAAATGATATTTTTGCCAATAGTGAATTATAGGATTAATAGGATTATTCTTTAACAAGGTAGGACTGTTTATAGGTACCATCTATTTTAAGGCTTTATTTTAATAAATTTTAAAAATATAACGTAAAAATATGAAATTGCAACTTTAAACATTTGGAGTCACCTCCCAAAAATAGGATGATCTTCCCCTTTATGTCAGTGGGCATGAATGGACATAAATTATGTAAGACTCCTGAGATTAAGCTGATTGGATGACAATGTCGTTAGAAACAGGAGTCCAGTCGTATTCTTACTATAAAAGATATGTTTTTTTTACAGATCATTTGTTCAACCTTCTAAACTTACTTTATCTGCCAACACAACACTTGTAATGGACAGTAAAAATCAAATTATCTGATAAGGTCACAATAGTTGCACTTGATGTTGCTATCTTAGCAATGCACTCATATGTTACTTGGTAACAATGATTTAATTAAAGATACATTATGTAAGATTTAGATAAAGAGCTGGCCATTCTTGCTATAATGGTTTGAACATAGATAATGTAAAGTGAATAATTTGAAAATTTCAATCAATTTACTCGGAAGATATTAGCCTTTGAAGGTTTGACAAGACGTGTGCAATAATTTCAACCACCGTACTGGTTGTTCGAAGCTACTTCTCGCTCCTCCCTATTTAGCTTAAATCAAAATATGGCTGAACTGTTCTAATCTATTTAATATAGGAGAAATCCGATATCATTGAGAGTTGATAAGTTAATTAATGTCTAATTAATCATTTAAAAAACATTTCAGGCCTAAAGAAAGACCTGCAATAGGGGGATTTAGCTCTCAGATAATGTATGTTTAAGGATTTTGCTGATCAGAATAAAATGAACTCACCATAGTCATAGATAACATATTAACATTTATCATATCCTTTACAATCTGAAAAATATACCATCAGCACAACTTATTTAATTTAAGAATAACACACAAATAATACAATATTTTGTTACATAACGAAAACACAGGTTGCCATGCAACAAAGCATACAACCACCAGCCGTTAAGTTGTTCCATGGACCATATAATATACAGTCCATGGTTGTGCAAACATTTATGAGCTTAACAGGGTATGCAAAATTATATATTATATATATTATTACCTGGTCTCGATTTTCCAGTTCCACGAAATATTCAGGAAATGGAAACGACATACCAACATTGTTAACTGTAATGAAAATTATATATGAATTGAAATTCTTACTTTAATCTGAATAAATTCATATTTTCAATAGCATTTTATCTTGTAGGAAATGAAATCAAATGGGGTGTAATGGAACATCCTATTTTTCTGCATCGACTGGGCTAATGAAGACGGGCATACTATACAGTATGCTTTGAGGGAAATTTTGCACGGACAGCAGCGCTATGATCTACTCTTATATCGAATTCTGTCAAGGTTTTTTTTTACATACACGTCAATGGATTCACAGGAACTTAGGTTTTCATCTCATCCTAATGACTAGAAACTGTTCTTACCAGACCCTCCATTCTGAACCAATGACAAGGGGAAGCAATTCTGGAAAATCCTGGAGAACATTATCAATCAATACCAGGATTGAGCCACTGCGACTCTTTATTCTATCATAATCAATGAAAAACCTATGAGTTAAGGGCTGTCAGTTGCTGTTCTACAAATGTTTGGTGGATTGGGTGGTCGAATAGTTTAACGTGTGCATGTTAGATCATAATCATAAGGTCTGTCATTGAGTGAAGTGGTATGGTGTTGATTCTCCGCTTGTGTGTGACAAGAAGTAGAGAGAGAGAGAGAAATGTGGTTTAACGTCCACTCGACACAAACTAGGTCATTTTGGGACTAAATCATGGTTCAATTTTATTTCAATATTATTCGCTTACACATATGGACCTTTAGCAGTGGGAGGAAACCTGAGGACCGGAGAAAGCGAGGCTACCATAGCCATTGAGCATGTTACTTGATAATTGAGAATATGTGGGTAGAGTTATCGTCCGTCAATCAAACGATCACCAATTTTCATAGATGGTGCAGTCACAATTGATGCCTATTTCTAGTCCAAACAGTGACAATTCCGTTCAGAACAAAGTAATTTGACTGACATTTTCAACATTTCCTTTTTTTATCATCTATTTTTGGAGTTATTATAGCAAGAATGGCCAACTCTTTAAAAACTCTTAAATAATGTATCTTTAATGATTAATTAAGTTAATTGGAGTCAGGGTTATTCCAGAAAAAATGGTGTCCCACCCCAAAGATGGCAGGGTTTTTATTTTCAGACCCATGACCAACAGATTTTACATTTTAATGGCTATGATGACTTACAGAATTTATTTTATATGACAACAACCACCAACAGAAATTTCATAATTATTAATAAATAAAATATTCACCATGATAATTACCCATTTCAATACTAACACCGTATAGATCATACTAACAGAAATGTGATGAGTATTAATAAATAAACCATTCAAAATGATAATTACTGGTACCCATTTCCATACTGACAGTATAAAAAAATATTACACCGAATAGACCACAAGCTAGACATTCATTAGGGTTCATTTTGAAAGTCAAACCATCCATTCTCAATAATATGCATGACTGACTACAGTGAACGCCGGTAGACCATGAAATCATTGATTTTATAAACTACTGACCATGCAAATTATTATACATTGGAATCGTTTAATTTGCAACTTTTCCAATACCACATAATACAAATTATCTCATTAATATTTATCAATCTGATTATCTCAGACTTAAGTTAGAATATACTTAACTTTCAATCACTGTTTATGAGAAATGTCTTTGGTCCAGAAACATAAAACTTTGCACATGGTTTCTTATTGATGTATTCGATACATTAAAACAACAAAAGTTTTATAAAGGGCTATATTTTAGTTAAAATAAGGCGAACTATTTTGAGTAAATTCTTAACTTAAAGGAGCTAAATCGCTAATATTTTGGGCCTAGAAATTGGCACAAATGGGTCGCAACGCATATAATAATGTAATATGAATTTATATAAACTGTTTTACATTCAATCGTTTCCGTTTTACTGTGAATTGTCATCAGTTATGTTCGGCGAAATACGCCAGAAGTCTCATCCCAAAAACAGTTTCTAGCGTCTGGTTATTCCATTCAACACCGATAGTATATATTGCGCATGCTCTCCAAATAAGAATATGGCATCACCGTTTGACATGACTTGTGGAATATGTCTAGCCTCATTCTTTGAGCACCTTGTTACAAATGGCGCTGAAACGCATTATGGTACACGATTCGTGTACCAATGGTAAAATGTTTATTTTGTCTTAAATATTGGATATCAGAAGCCCGTCTTTTCCAGGTAAGACCACAACACCAATGCTGATTTAAATTGCAAAAGAAATCGTGTTTTCAATGTCGAAGATTTTGGATGATATTGAGTTACGGACTTAGCTACTTTAAGTCTAAGAATGCTTTGTTAACTCGGGGTCTAGTTGAAATGTCTTTCAGAGCACAATATATACATGGCATTGCTTTGTATCTGATTGATGTTCTTTATGTTCTTTTGAAATAGTGGTTGTCTCTTGTTAGTGATGCAGGACGGAGGACCTGACAAGGACAGCTGTCTAGTTGTTTTCGGATGGGTCAAAAAACCAAGGTCCCGTGTACACATTGGCGTGAATGTAAAAGATCCCTTGACAGTTGGAATTCGAGATAAGAGTAGGCCGTAGTGCCGCTGTCTGGGTAAAATTTCCCTCATAGCACACTGTATGGCGTATGCCTGTCTTCATTAGCCCAGTTCGGATGTTATACCCATTTCACTTCTTTTGAATTAAAGGGGCATTAATAGGTAAGATTAAATAAAGAGCTGACAATTCTTGCTATAATAGTTAAAAAATAGATAATGAAAATGAAATATATTGAAAATTTCAGTCAAATTGCTTCACTGTCAACTGAGATATTATTAGTGATTTATTTTTAGCCTAGCCTCGATCATCTTTACTACTGTTGGTATGATAATAAACAAAATCTTGATTATTCATTTTTACGCGAAATCATCCATCACAAACCATATTCAAATCCACTAAATATTGCAGGCTAACAATGGCATGTAGAGTTGATATCAATGTCTAATTAATAGTTTATATAACATTTAAGGACTTATAAAGGAAGACCTGCAATAGGCAAACTTGGCTCTTGCATAATGTTTAAGTGAAGCCTAATACACAGGGGGCAGAAACATGATTTTTCCCAAATTGAAAGTAAGATTTCATACTCGGCATACACAGACACTCATAAACATTGAAATAAGTAAGAAATTATGAGTATATGAACTTTGATGTGATATTGTTCAAGAATTTTCACGTTTCTGAATTATCCGAATATTATTCGGATAGTAAACAAAAGTATTCGGATCACAAATCTCGATCCGATTTTCAACACTATTGGTCAGAGCACCAGAGTGTCCAAGAGAGAGAGAAATGGGGTTTAATGTCCACTCGACACAAACTAGGTCATTTCGGGACTAACATTTGGTTTAATTTTATTTCAATAATTCGCTTGCGCGTAGGGGTCTTTAGCAGTGGGAGGAAACCAGAGGACCCGGAGAAAACCCACGAGGTTGGACAGGCGACCCTACTCCTTGTCACGTACAACCGGGGATTCGAAACCACGCCAGTCGACTCAATGACAGACTTTATGATACAGCGCGCGCACGCTAACCATTCAGCCATCCACCCCCCCCCCCCCCCCCCCAGAGTGTCCAAGGTTCAAATCAGGAATTTATTAGCCTGTTCATCACTTGTTTACCTGTTTACACATCAGAGATTTGCAAATTGAAGAAGAGTAGGTGAAAATGCCTCTTGTCTGGTCAGTCTCGTCATATTTCTCCAAACTCGCATTGCACATGTGCATAAGACGCTGGCTCGCTACCTTGGAGGTCGGGTGTTCGATCCCTGCTTTGGCCAAGAAAGTTCATAGTGATTTTCCGACGTTGTTTCCCCTTGTCAATGGTGCAGAACGGAGGGTCTGACAAGGACAGCTGTATATATTGCAATGCACGTGAAAGATTCCTTGGCAGTAGGAATTCAATATAAGAGAAGGCGATAGTGCAAAACTTCCCTCATAGCACACTGTATGGTGTATGCTTGTATTCATTAGCCAAGTATAGGAGCAGAACAGTAGGACATCAAACCCCATTTTATTTCATTTTTTTTTCAATAATTACCCAGTGTTCCTATTTCTAGACCCTCTAAACTTCTACTAATAGTACTGTAAATATCTGCTCTTGTAAAGTCTACCGCAATCACTCTTGTCTGTACTTTATATTTAGATTCTGTAAAACAAGGGAGATAATCAACATAAAAACAACCCCAAAAATAATAAATCTATGTGCATCTGATTTCTCCAGATTAACCTCTGAAGTAATGGCCAGTAGCATGACAACTGTACAAAATATCAGTTTATTTAATGCACCGTTGATGAGAAACACCTTGGACTTATATTCATGGCTAAAATGAATTATACCTTCAGGTTTTCCACTATATGACATCAATGGAATTTCATTTAATGTAAACTTCAAATGACCATATTATTAATTCATAATATCCAACCTTGTCAAGTATGCGCATGAAGCTAAAATATGGTATATCATGACATAATGAATGTGACATTTTTCAAATACATCATTTGAAAACTCTAATTCTTGAATTTGTTGCCAGCAAAATAACATCTGTTTATCGTAACAGAGAGATAAACCGTTGGTACCGGCATTATTCAAGAATAGTACTAGAATTTAAACTGTGGAAATATCTAAATCAAAATGCGTATTCAACAATTAAAACAAATTATCCCCAGATTCCTGGCCATTTTCATTCTGTATGGCAATTTTTTTATTGTGTAAGTAAGGTCTGAAAGTTTTTAAAATTTGTTGCCGTTTAGTTGCGTTGAAATAAAGTTTGATGTTTTTGAAAATAAAATAAAAGATTTCTATTATTTACCTATTTCTTTTGCGAGATCATTTAATTTAGATGCTGTTCTGCTGATCAATACTACATTTATACCTCTTTCAGCAAGCTGCAAGAGAGACAGAGAGAGAGAGAAATGGGGTTTAACGTCCACTCGACACAAACTAGGTAATTTCGGGACTAACATATGGTTTTAATTTTATTTCAACAATCTGCTTGCGCGTATAGGTGTCTTTAGCAATGGGTGGAAACTGGAGGACCCAGAGAAAACCCACGAAGTTGGACAGGCAACCTTACTCCTTGTCACGTACAACCGGGGAATCGAAATCACGCCAGTTGACTCAATGACAGACTTTATGGTAAAGTGCGCACATGCTAATCATTCAGCCATCCAAACCCCCAGCAAGCTGCAAAATGAAAATGATTAGTCTTTACGGTATTGATTTGATGCAATTTACATACAGCACATATGTAAATATCTGAATGATAAAATAAAAAAATTTTAAAAGCTTGATGCGTTAATTTGCATTTTCGCTAAAAAATCAAATTTCTCGCGGCTTAATATTAATTAACATTTAATTAAGAAAACAAAAAGAAAATACCAACGCTAGATAATCTCCCTGCTCGGATTCAATCAGATTTAAACTAGGCCCATCAGATTTCTCCCCTACCAATAAAAGATGGCGACGACGGCGGCGTCTTGTTACGTTCGCACAGCATAGCCTGATGAAATTGCAATTTATTGTACTGAACGGAATTGAGCCATTTAAAGTCCACTCGACACAAACTAGGTCATTTCGGGACTAACATGGTTTTAATTTTATTTCAATAAAAGGGATCTTTTACATGCATGTCAATGTATACACAGGTCCATGGTTTTTGATCCCATCCAAACAATTAGACAGCTGTCCTTGTCAGGCCCTCCATCCTGTACCACTGACCACGGGAAACCATGTCAGAAAATTCTGTTAAACTTTCTCACCCAATGCAGACGGGACATGCGACCTCCCGACTAGCGATCCAGCGCCTTACCCACTTAGCCACCGTGGCTCTGAGACTTTTTGTTAAAAACTGCAACAGATTGGTTATTTCATAAATGAAAAGGAAGACTATTACATAGCCCTGCAGTCTGTGCATGTAAAGACCTGTTGCTATGATACAAGATATGGGTGTTGTTTACTTAGTTCCTTGTGCAGGCTATTGTTATCTGCATATTGCATTGCATAGTTACAATAATAATAATATTTTTTACACAATGATATCCCTCTTTTATGGTATTATTTTATTTCAAATTTAACCTTATGGACTGAAGACAGATGTGCCTTTGAAAAAAAGATTTCCTAAACTTCTTTTCTTCAAACATAAACATACCAAAACTGACCTTTCTTTCAAACATGTAACAACTAATCACATAATATGTGGTATTGTAAAATTACAAAAAGATTGTAAAATATACAATAATATTGTGGCTTTCTGGTTTGTTTACCTGTTCTGCATATGCTTTACCAATCCCATCTGTACACCCAGTCACAACTGAAATATTAATAAAATTACGGTATATAATCGTGATTGATAATTTTGAATATTTTGTGGAAACTATTTTGCTCTAATTAAAGATACATTATGGGAGATATTTATAGAGAGTTGGCCATTCTTGCTATAACAGTTCAAAGTAGATGATGAAAGAAGAATATATTGAAAAATTCAGTCAAATTACTTTATTCTGAACATAGTTATCATCGTTGTAATATTTGCCTAGAAATGGTAGCGAAATGTGTCTTCACCTTCGCCGAATGTTTGATTGACAGGTGTTAACTCCACCTACATATCTCGAATATCAAGTAAAGTTTTCAATGGCATACGGAAACGCTTTACAGCGGCCTCGCTAAGTACACTCAATCATTTAGCCTCGATCTAACTGACGTATTTTCATCAGGTTACCCCTTATCTGATTTAATCAATTAGTGAAATCCTATTTAAATCCGAGCTGTAGCCGAGTCATCCGTGGGTCTACAGAGTTGATTTTGGTCTTGTTGTTTAAATAAAGATCTAATTTATAATTTCTATAACATCTGAAGCCTAAATTAAGACTTGCAATAATTAGATTTAGCTCTTGCATAATGCATGTTTAATGAAAAGAAATGCAATGGAGTTTAACGTCTTTCTTTTGAAATGGGGTATTACGTTCTATAGCTGTTCTGCACCTGGGGTAATGAAGACTGGCGTACAGCGATCATGTACTTATCCGTCCGTACTGTGTCCACATATATGGAACTTACTACTTTCTATTAGGGTTAGGGTTAGGGTCAGGTATTTAAGATTAAATCCTGTAAGACAAAAATGGGAGTCACATCAAACATGAATGCCTGGCAGTGGCATACTACAGACACAGTGACAGTCAAAGTTTCTGCCGTGTCACTGCGTAACGATATGATCATAATGATATGCATGAAATGAATTATATTTCTATTTCAAATTGAAAATAATGCATAAGATCTTTATTAAATAGTTTTGACAGTTAGTCTAAATAAGACTATTAAAAAAACTCCATAGCTTGTTGTTTGGACATGACTCGGCTTATCGAATGATTCAACTAGGCCTATATACTAAACTAAAGACAGTCAAAGTCCACAAAATTGAAAAGCTCACCTGCCCAGCTCCCGGCTTTCTTGAGATCAGCTGACAATCCCAACAGACCAGCTAAAACATAAGTTGATATAAATCTAAATACACCGAGAGCTGCTTTAAAAGCGACGAATGATGCTGCTGTCACACCGAAAACTGTGAAAAAATCGGCAGATTTGCCTAAACTAGAAATGATAGTTTGAAAGACAGCCATGCTTATTGTTTGCTTATCGCCCTTTGTCTACTCTTCTTTTTATAAAGTACCGGTACACTACATTCCCCTCGATCATGTGATCTGACAGTAACCATTGACAATAATAATAATTATATCTTTAATTATTTCAGAAGTGTAGAAATTTTCGACTTTTAAGCTTTTGGTACACGTTACTCTTAAAAATATTTTGTTTTCTAGTCGGCAAAATTAAGTGACTTTCACGGGTTAATAAAACACCAATTTTACTTTCTTTTAATTAAACACAGCTAATTTATTATTTAGTAATTTGTTGCCTACTGAATTGACTATAATATAAAGACTTTAAAAAAAGAATTAAATATTTGTTCTGGAAGCCACCCTGCTTTGTCACTTCTGCCTTTTTCGACATTTTTCTGGCTAGACCAGAAATAACAGGGTAGAGCGTTATTTTGCAGCCGTATAATTCTCAACGACTCCAAGCAGGAACTTTTTCAGGCATTTCATTTCTGCCTCCTGTAGGATACTCGGAAATATTTCTGTGATCGTCCTCGGGTAGCTGCAATTTATAGCCGTGATAATTCGTATCTACGGCTGCAATTGATACACTATTCGAGGCTTTGAGCAAGAAAAATTTGGTTCAATCGCAAAATTTTCAACACATATCATCACAATTTACATGCAAATAAGTAATTATGTTACAAAAAGTGAAAAGTGGAACACTGAAAATATAATCTTATCTTACCAAACATTTTTTTCTGTATTTTCGAGTGACATGATCATGACACACGTGATTCTGGTTTGGAGGCCATTTTAAAGTGAACAGAAATTTCGCAGAGCAGTTGAGGAGAGGGGTGATATAGGCTTTGCCTGTTCCCTGATCCCTTTTCATAAATTTCTGGAATAAAATATTGTTTACACAAAAAGAAGTTGGTTTAATCAAATCATATAATTATAGGGTAAGGTTTCACCTTTATTTAAATGGGGATTGGTTTATTATATGTTAAGCTATGTAGGCTACAGTACAGTTTGGGGTCAGTGTAATTGGAAATTAAGTGAGTTATAGAGCGTTATCTTCCATAAAATGTATTCAGATGCGCTGTACAATACAATTCAATAAAATATACATAGATCTATAAGAAGACTTAATAAAACTTTTAAGTAAAATATAACAGGGTAGCTTAGAATAAAATCTGATATCACAAATAGGTTTTAAAAGTAGAAAAGAAGCTACTTAAAAAATAATAAATTAGTGCAACATCTTATATTAAAAGGTAATAGGAATTCCATAATTTGGGTGTCTGGACGGTAAACGATTGATCTCCAAATGATAAAGTCTTGCTGATCAATTTACAAGTAAAAAAATGATCAGAAAAAACCCGCAGAGTGCGACTCGGTGTATACATTTCTAAAAGTAAACATAAATAAGGTGACATATCATTTATATACATTTAAAAGTTAGCGAAGCGCAGAATTGAACACGTGACAGTTTGTATTTTGTGTGATCGGCAAAATCGTCGTTGCTATAAATAAACGAACTACCATTAGCTGGTACCGAGATTGATAAGAAACCTCATCTCTCAACCTTCCGTGTTTCGAGATAAGCGATGGAGCGAGGCCTACATAGTTTCAAGTGGCAAACCTCCAACGCTAATCACATTGGGCTTCAAATAAGCGAAATTGACAATTTTTTCTTCAAAACAACGTTTGATTATTGTTATTTATAATATTTCTGCGACATGAAATGAAATGAAATGAAATGGGGGTTTAACGTCCTACTGTTCTGCCAATAAACTGGGCTAATGAAGACGGGCATACGCCATACAGTGTGCTATGGGGAAAATTTTGCCCGGGCAGCGGCGCTACGGCCTACTCTTATATCGAATTCCACTGCCAAGGGATCTTTTACGTGCACGCCAATATGTACACGGGACCTCGGTTTTTCAACCCATCCGAACGACTAGACAGCTGTCCCTGTCAGGCCCTCCGTCCTGCATCACTGACAAGGGGAAACCACGCCGGAAAATCTGGATGAACTTTCTCGGCCAATGCAGGGATCGAAACCCGACCTCCAGGCTAGCGAGCCAGCGTCTTACCCACTTAGTCACGTGATTCCCATTCAGAATGGAGGAATATAATGTGCTAAGTAACCAGTGCATGACCTCACTGTACTTTGTAAAGTAATATTAGAAAGTGTATTTTGTATTTTATCACAGCGACATTGCTATTGTGGAGCAATAGAAATTGCAAATTGTAAAACTAAAATAAGTATTTTGAACTGCTGATGCATTTTTAGCCGTGAACATTGAAATAATGGCAACGTTATTGTTCCATACCATAGATGAGCTTTCTCGGCCAATGCAGGGATCGAACACCCGACCTCCAGGCTAGCGAGCCAGCGTCTTACCCACTTAGCCATGTGAACCCCCTTTCTGCCACATCCAACTACATTTAAGCAGAAATTCCTACCTGACACGGGTACAAATCCCCTCTTTAAATCGAAGCGTTAATAGATTGTTTTCTCCGACATTTGAAATTACGTCTTTTAAAGGCGGGACCTCGTGTACAATAGACAATCAAAGTACTAACCTGGGGTCTGTTTCACAAAATTTTAACTAAGATAAAATCCAAATTTAGTAATTTGATTGGATAATATTAGATTGATTTTAGTGCTTAGCCAATCGAAATTGAAGTATCTACTAAAATTTGGATTTTATCTTTAGTTAAGATTTCGAGAAACAGGGCCCCGATTCGAGTTGCGCAGGAGTAATATACCGTAATTATGAATGCCTCTTTCAACAATGATAACAACAATGCTTGATTTACTTTATTGTCAATATTTGCTGATAAATGAAAGTTGTTTCAGTAGATTATTTGGGTTGCGCGTGTCTAATAATTTCTAATACTATAAAATTAACTTATTTTTAAGATATAACATGCAGAAGCCCAATAAAGATATTAAGTTTGCCGGGTGAAACTAAAGGCACCCAATCGTAGATAAAAACAAGCACACCAGTATCTCAAAGTTTATATCTATCTACGTTCTCTAACTAGTAGGCCTACCGATATGGTGAGGTTCAATAGTGGTCTGCATCCACAAACAAAGAACAGAGTACAGTCCCTTCTATTCTGTTTCGTAAAAGTCCCAAATACTTGTTTTATAATACAGAATGGAAAATGAAATGAAATGAGGTTTAACGTCCTACTGTTCTGCTCCTAACCTGGGCTAATGAAGACGGGCATACGATATACAGTGTGCTATGAGGAAATTTTGCCCGGGCAGCGGCACTATCGCCTAGGCCTACTCTTATATCGAATTCCAACTGCCAAGGGATCTTTTACGTGCACGCCAATGTGTACACGGGACCTCGGTTTTTCGTCCCACCCGAACGACTAGACAGCTGTCCTTATCAGGCCCTCCATCCTGCATCACTGACAAGGGGGAACCACGCCGGAAAATCTGGATGAACTTTCTCGGCCAATGCAGGGATCGAACACCCGACCTCCAGGCTAGCGAGCCAGCGTCTTAACCACTTAGTCACGTGATTCCCATTCAGAATGGAGGAATATAATGTGCTAAGTAACCAGTGCATGACCTCACTGTATTTTGTAAAGTAATATTAGAAAGTGTATTTTGTATTTTAACACAGCGACATTGGTATTGTGGAGCAATAGAAATTGCAAATTGTAAAACTAAAATAAGTATTTTGAACTGCTGATGCATTTTGAGCCGTAAACATTGAAATAATGGCAACGTTATTAGTCCGGGAGCTAGGTGGGTTTTGTTCAACATGGAAGGTGCGGAAGGTTTGGGATGCTAGTGATGTATGGCTGGGTTAGGAGACCCCAGAAACCAAATTCTTAAGTTGCGGCAGTGGTGGGTGTGGTAGGGGGAGCCACCTATAGTAACCCCCCCCCCCCAAAAAAAAAAATTGGTTTATTCAACATGGAAGGTGCAAGTACCACTTCAGTGGCATTTGATAGCGGAATGTGCCCTGAATTAAGAAATATAAAAAAGTTTAAATTTCAAAGATAAAACACAAAACAGTTTATATTTTAAAAAGAAATATCATACAAAAAACTTTAAACTTTCAAAAGAAAAGACTCCTATCTATAACATAATAGCCAACCTTCGCCAATAAAATGGAGCCATGGTTTTGTTACTTCGACTGAACTGTGCTATGGGGAAAACTTCTTATCGAACTGTGCTATGGGGAAAACCCCTGTTTGAATTGACACCACAGCCTATCAGGAAGGTGTTTAGCATGGTATCAGTGGTAAGCATGTGATCTGGGTTTTGTCCTATTCGAACGACTAGACACCATTCCTAGCCAAGCTCCCAGGTTAAGCCTGAACATAATGAGGAACTTTGCCAACAACGGGACTCAACCGTTGATCCCATGTGACTCGCTGATACTTTCAGTGGATAGATTTTAACAAACAATGGTATTAGAATAAATGGTTTATCATATAAACATCACCAGAGAGAGAGAGAGAGAGAGATAGAGAGAGACAGAGAGACTAACGGTTTTTAACGTCCAATCGACACAAACCAGGTCACTCGGGATAACAAATTCGATAATTGTATTTCAATAATTCGCTTCATAAACAAGGAAGATAGCATCCTTACAAACAAACCAAACTCAATAATACAAGTACATTTATCTAATACCAGGACTAAAGCAAAAACAATAGTTAAACTAGAACTGCGAAGCAGTAATGACGGGTTTCACCGGTGCCACGTTACCCTAAACATATGTCACTTCCGGTACCAATGAAACCATTAAACAGGTTTCCACATAAGCATTGCACACATCAAATAAAATGGACGCCGAATTAACCAAATCCAGCGCAATCAATTCATTTTATACATTTGTTACATGTAAGTGAACAGTACTTCCGGTGATAATGAAAATTTTCAATTAGTTTTATGAAATCAGAAATGGCATAAGGCATCACATGGTGAAAATTTTATGTATATCGAATAATAATTGCCACTTTTATAGACCAAAAAACTTGAAAAGTGACTTGTAGAAAATCGTCTATTTC